ACTATTATTATGAACAAACATATTAATATTATAATATAATAATATTTAAAAAGAACAATTGTTTGTCATCAAAATAAAAATAATTGAACACTAATTTAACAGTTCCCTAACTTGCAACCACATTGTCCATTGTAAAAGATATATCAATCCTATGAATGATAAAAAAAATCAAGATTGATGTAACTGTAAGCAAAAAAGAAGATAAAAATCATATGAATACAAACGTTATATTGTTCCCCTGCTATCAGTCCAGATGCATTTTTATGTTCGTGTTTTCATTCGTGTATACAGGTAGGTGGCCTATTGTTTTAATCTAGTTATTGAAGTAAAACAACACTATAATAAAATGATGATAGAAGAGCAACTATGTCAATACAGTTCAGCAAGTTACTGTAAAACAAGTAGGTTGCCACACATTTCTTTGTTTGCTTTTAAACCTCAATCTGTTTCACCCTTAAAAACAACCCTATTAACTATTTTACTCGCTTCCCAGTTTTTTTAAGTTATTATTTTTTTTAAAAATGACTCATTTTACAATTTTTTTTAGTTATTAATTTTTCATTTTTTTCTAATATGGTTAAACCAGGAAATGGAAATCCACCCAATTCGACATCCATTTTCCATTCTGTAATCCTACTACACTATATGGGACCAATGTGTGACATTAGAAGAGCACTTTTTGAAGCAGATACGAGTCTTGTTATTAGACAGGTTGTCCAAGCTATAAGTGACCTGGTTGTGGGAGTTGTTTTATTTCAAGGGGTGAGCCTGAATCAACAATTATTTAAAATGTACATGATGAGTTGATAAAAGTGATGGGAGAAGAGGTTATTGAATTTGTGTTCTCAAAATTTGGTGCACTAGCCAGGAAAAGTGGCCTTCAATCTCACACTTTATCTTTGAGTATAAATGTGTTTTTCAAAGTTCTTAACAATATTAGCTTGGCTTTCGGGCATGCTGAAACAGAGATTTTTGTGAATGAGTTTACTCGACAGGATGTCCTTAACATGATCGCATATTTAAAGCCAAGGTTGTTGATGTTCCTAATCACACAATTATTCTCGAATTGATGGGAGGACTAGACAAGTTAGTTGAATTGCAGAGATTGTTGGAGCCGTATGGAATTTATAAGGTTGCTCAAACTGGTTGTCTAATGTTACGACGAAAGAACGAAACTAACTTCGTAGCTGAATCCTATCGATTAATGCCTCCGAGATCAAAACCTCCAAAAATGCCGCCAGAATTAATGCCTCTAGAGTTAGACTATATCATTGAAGATGCTTTGATAATGGATATTGCAAGATGGCTCCTGATAAATAAATAAATGGTGGATGAGATGCAAGAAGTGAAGAAAATGTTGAACCACACAAAAGTTTTGTTAGTTGTGAATACAATGACTGGACAATAAGTTGCATTAGTCACAACATTCAATGTTGTGATAGGGATTGTAGGTGCCATTTTAACAAAGCTAGATAGAGGTTCTAGAGATGATGCAGCTTTGAGTGATACAGAGGTGTTCGGGAAGCCAATCAAACTTGCAGGATATGGAGAGCACATGGAGGACCTTAAACTTTTCTATTTAGATCAAATGGTTGGACACTTCTCGGGGATGAGGGATGTTTTCTCATTGGTTGAGAAGGCACAAGAAGTTATATGCCAAGAAGATGCTGAAAAATTGCAAAAGAAGATAAGGAGTACAAAGTAGACTCATGCAATTACTCGGATGAGGCCTTTGACTCATGTTATTGGTATGATTCCTGGCAAGAGAAAGGTTACCCCAATCCGAGTTCTAGAAGTATAGAAGAATTTAAACTTAAGGGATTCAATGATTGAAGTCATGTTAACACATTCATCAACAAGAAGTCACTATATTATCTTTGTTGGAAAAATAATCGTGCTTAACATCTTCTTCGAACCTTGAGGACAAGGTTCTTCTCCAAGAGAGGGGTATTGTTATGACCCAAGCAGCTATGCCAACTCAGCAATCCTATCAATTATTTACAGGTCAACATTTCAAGGCTTTGTTGGTTACGGTAACTAGCTATAAAAATGTAGTGGAGTCGATGAAGGAAGGGCATAAAATATTGTTATAATCTGTTACTCTCTCCCTTTCTAGTTTTCTCTCTATTCTTCCCTCCTATTTCTCATTCTATCTCCTCTATTTACTGTAATTTCTTGTTCTTCAATGGAATACAACTTAATTATTTGAGTTCGTATCATTGAGAAATTGAGTTCATAACATTATCTCATGGGATTTCCCCATCAAGATCCATTATCTAGCAAGAAACAATAGAGAAAAAAGGAACAAAAGCATGGATTTACAAAACTAGAATATGTCACACCCTGAAAACTAGAAACATAAAAACACTATTACGAGCATATTTCACCTCCCTGTTATTTGCCCTGTACATACCTTGCTTCTGTACGTGGTCATTGTGTAACAAGTGCATAGTGTCCCCTAGATCCATCGTTATATTGTTTAAATATGGATAGCTAACGATCTATTGTGCCTTTGCTAAGCCAGCTCTCACAATCCGCTCACCAATGTTGAAGGAATATAACCATTCTATGTGCAACACTATAAAAGCAACTAATAGCCTAACTCTACTACCTAAAGCTTCCAAATTCAAATGCAGGCACTACATGTTGCACGCAACGGTTGCTGTCACCCGGAAAAGCCACTCTATGAGCACTTTAGATGAAGAAATCAGCTAATAGTTACACTACTTCACCCAACTATGAAGATTATGATCCCGATAAACCCACCAAAACTACCTAGATTTTCCGAAATTCAAACACAAACACTATAAGCGGTGGACTTCAACTGCTATTACCAGGAAAATCATTCTATGAGCAAACCTTGTATGACGAAAGCAGCTAACAACTACACTACCCTACCCACTAATGTGATTTCAATCCAAGAGCTAGAAATTTCAATACTAAAACTTAAGATTCGTTTGTAACAACAAAAAAAGAACAGATTACTTGGAAATTTCAATTCTATAACTGTTATTTAAAGCCCAAAAATCAAATCAAAACAAAAATTAAAAAACATGGATTCAACATGAATCCAAAAAAGCACAAACACTCAAACCAAAAAGAAATAAAGATAAGCAAAGGTTGAAGGAAAAGGAACAACCTGAAAGCAGATGAAGTGAGTAAGAAGAGCAAAGGGTAAATTTTTGATTGAGAATCGGATACTCCTCCAATCTGTGTCGTGGAGTTCAAGAACAAAAAACGATTGGGAGAAGAAGCAGAGGCAAACGGGAAAAGAGGGTATTTTAGCCCTTAGCACACGAGAATAAAAGAATACCTAAGAAAAGCAAGGGATTAATATTCCCGGTAAAAAGAGAAATTTTTTTACTGTTTGGAATATATTATACCCCTATTGGGAATATTTCTCATCCAAAAACGGGAATTTGAATATGAAAAAAAAAATCCCACCAGAAATCTTGAATTCCATGATCCAATCACCCCTAAGTACTTACTAATCATAATTTTTATTAACACCATCAAAGTTAGAAAGTTTTGAGAAATGAATTAGTAGAAGTTTGTTATTCTTTTTTTCCCGATGTGTAAATGGCTTATTTGTATCAGTTAATTTTTTTATTAAATAGGGAGGTGTTAATTTTAAAAATAAATATTAATATTTGAATCTATATAAAATAAGACAACATGAATATCTTTGCTCGTTCAATTAATTAATAGATACGACTAATGCTATGGCGGCCCTAATGATAACCTTAGACCACTTTTACATGGGGCGAAAACAATGTCATGGTCTTGATGGCAATGTTCCCTCCATCGGAAAACAATGCATTTATTCTCCGACTTATGTAGTCCATTGTCATTATTATTATATATAAATGAATTAAAATATATAATTATAAGTGAAATAATTTGATTCAAATTAACTTCTGGTTATTTTAGAAAATATTTTTTTTATTTTAATACACCTTAATGATTATTCACATCTCAACCAAACAAAACGGTTACCACCCTTGCAAATTAAAAGCAAAGCCAATTCTAATAAAATAAAGGGAATTAAAAGGACGTATAGTGATTAATTCCATATAATTATCTTTAAAAAATAAACAAAATTAATTAAATTTAGACGTTCAATTGAAACCACTGTTTATTAATTAAACTTCATTCTTATGTAAATTTAATTGTAAAAGTATATAAATATTAAATAAATAATAAATTTATTTTTAATAGCAGGTTCTCAAAATAAGCTTTAAGAACTAAGATATCTTTAAATAATACTCTTAAGCAAAACAACAATATTTTTAATAGCGACGTAGTTAAATAGATAATGCGATAAACCTCGACTTCTCTTAAAATTTTCATCAAATGACATTTTTAATTCATTTAAATTTTTTAATCAAATAAAATGTTGACCCCTTAAAATTTAAGATTAAATAGTTAATGGACTCTATTTCTAAAGTTTAACAATTTGGTCCTATTTCTGATTCTTAAGCAAGGTATTAATCACACATCAACAATCCGACTCAAGTCCCCATCACGTGGAATGTCTCCACACACGCGTTAGGCCTGCCAACTCATCTTCATTTAAACTTTTTTTTTTTGTCTAAAAGACAACTAATATTTGTTTGATAATATATGAATTTGATCATATTAAAATAGAATTAAATTAAATTTTAAATTAAGAAGTACTTTTTTAATATTAATTTTTTTATAAAATTTATTTTTTTATTTAAAAACATTAATTTTTCATCACGCAATTCAAGACGAATCCGATTATTAATAGTGATTTATTCATACATAAGTGCTGCCCAACTACCTGAAGCTGTCCACATTTATATATCTTCCCTCTACTTTTTTCCCTAAACATCAGAGCCGTTGATTCTCACAATGGGGACCACATAATTTCACATCGAACGGCTCAACACGAATCCTTTAAGTCATCACTCTCCTCATTCACAACTGCAATCTGAACATCATTAAGTATTTGCCAGTTTTACATACGGGTTCTTCTATAAAATCTAACGGCCATGCATTTCGAGTTTCGGTCCAAAAGTCTCTACTCAAAAAAGAAGAAGAAGAAGAAGATTATGGCATTGTCGGTGATCGGCGTTTTGTTTCTTTTCGCGGCAGTGATGGCGGCGGACGAGAGTGAGCTGACTACGGAGTGCAGCAAGGATTTCCAGAGCGTGATGACTTGCCTGGGCTTTGCTCAGGGGAAGGTGGCGACGCCGACGAAGGAATGTTGCAGTTCGGTTTCGGAAATCAAAGAGAATAAGCCAAAGTGTTTGTGTTATATTCTGCAGCAAACTCAGAGCGGTGCTCAGAGCCTTAAGAGCTTAGGGGTGCAAGAAGCTAAGCTTTTCGAGCTTCCTTCTGCTTGCCAGTTGAAGAACGCTAGCGTCAGCTACTGCCCAAGTAAAACTTTCTTTCTCCTTAAATTCATGTTAGATTCATATTCGAGACTTACATATGTCTCGTACTCCAGCAGTAGTGAATTTAACAATATTTTTTAAGTTAAACATGAATATATATATTAACAATATAAATTTCTATAGATAGTACAATTAAAATTTTAAGATGAATATAAACAAAGGAATATAAACAATAAAATAAATAATTATTCGAAGAAAGTTCAAATTTAAAGTAAATTAAACAATTATCTACCCTTATACCTTAATGGGTCTATCAGTGTACTTGATTCGGAATAACATATAATAATCGGTTATTTTGAATGATTGATCGGTTAAAATTATATATATAAGTCGGGTTAATTTTGAGTTTAGGATGAATCAATTTCGGTTAATATAATATTTGATCTAAGAATTCACTTGGTTATATATAATTCTTTAATAAACATGTTATATAAATTTATTTAAAAATATATAATTGTATAAGGATTACACTAATCATATGTTTTTTATTTGAATGGAAAAAAAAACAGAGCTTCTCGGTTTATCTCCGAACTCACCAGACGCCGCCATCTTCACCAATTCCTCCTCGAAAGCGATGACGACACCTAGTACTCCAGCAGCATCAACCGGAACTCCGTCATCTGCGGCGGAGAAAGGCGATAGTAAATCCAGCGGAACCAAGCTCGGAAGCCACTTCGTCAGTTCGACAGCGGCACTGCTGGTTGCTACGGCAGCTGTGTTTTTCTTTGCATCCCCGGCCTAATTTGCTTAAGCTTCTGCATGGGACGTCAGGACTCGGGAGTTTAGTTTATTTATCATTAAAAAAGTCTTTGGTGTTCGGATCTTAGCAAAGCCAGACTGAGTGACAATTGTGACCATTTTATCTATGTTTATTGTTTTAATTTAGTAATTGAGGCAATTAAAAATAAATTTTGATTTAAACACTTTCAAAGGATTAAATACATAATATGAATATATTTACATGAAAATATATATTTTTAATTATTAATTACAAAAACATTTTATTTTGTTTCTTAATGAACTGTAAAACAATAAAAAACTTTTGAGGTAAAAAAGATTTAAAAAATCAAAAATATTTTTTTTACAAAAAAATTTAGGTAGGGATTACTCCGTCTAGGGTCAAAACATACTTAAAACACAATTATGATTTATATAAGAATTTATAGATTGTGTTGACTAATATTTTAAAAAAAATTGGAATACAAATAAAAAATCTACTAAATTTGGTAATACAAATCACATCAAATATATAAGGATATTTTCACTCAATTTTAGAAGTGTTTTTTTACCTCTCAAACGTAAAATAAAAAATTTCAGTTTTTGTGTTTGAAAAGTGTTTTTGAAGTCAAATTACAATTTTTTTTTTATTATTATTGTATGATGTATTTATTTTATAGTTTATAAACTTAAACTCTTTTATCAATACATGAACATGAATATAGAATTAATAAATTATTTATGAGTTTACAATTTTTATATTTTTTATGTCAAAATTTTTAAATAAAAATTATTTTAAAATTTATACATTTTCATAAATCAGCGTACATTTATTAAAAATATTTATTTAATAAATCATATATATATATATATATATTAATTATAATTTGAATTGATATTTTATATATTATAAAAATATAAAGATCATTTAAATATACGTTTCTTAACTAGACACGCAAAATATTTTTCGTATATTTGTTTTAATCATTTCTTCTTTACCCAAAAAAATATTCATTTATTTTTTTCCAAAAAAACACTTTTTAATAGTATTTTCAGCTAGACCTCAAAGAAGAATCAACAATCAATTAGTTTAGTGAGATTGAGCACTAGATTCTTTAAACAAAGTAAGAGGTTTGATTCCTAACGTTTGTGAATTGAAGAAATTGAGTTGGAAGAATCATCATCCCCTCTGTAGTACCTGATCCGAATTAAACGATCACTAGTTCAGATATTGGTGATTATATAAGAAAAAAAGAGTAAAAAAACTCAAATATTCTAATAATCCTCTCGTTTCCTTTATTATCCTAACTCAAAATATTAAATTTAAACTCGACCATTTAAAGTTTTAATAGCTACAGTAGCATACAACTTTCCACCTAAGGAAAACTGATATGCAATCTACATAAACCACCAATTTTTTCTTTAATAGTGTGACCTCAACAAAAATAAATCTGTCACGTTCGAGTAAAGTTAAGCATATCTAATTATGAGCATCGCTAAGCATTATTAATTTAATTTTTAGATTTAAAATTTTAAATATTCAACGTATAATTATAAATTAATTAAAACTTTAAAAGTAAATTATTTAAAATAAAAATACTAATTATATTACTTTTCATATTTTTAGTAATAATTGAATCAAATTGAAAAATAATTTATCTTTAAATTTTTAACTAATTTATATTTATACATTGAGTCATTTAAAATTTTAAACTTTTATAAATTAAATTAATGATCAGCAGTGCTCGTCGAACATTGCAAAAATTTTTCCTCAACAAAATCATGGGCAACTCTTTTATCATTTTATTATTATTAATAAATAGTTTTAAATAATATATTTTTTATAAAATTATGATTTTACAAGTATTATAAAATAATATATATATATTAAAATTAACGATAAACTCGTTTAATTTGTTTGGATAGTTCGTAAAATATGGTCCAAACGGCGTCGGATAACTGATGGCAATAGCCTTTTATAGAAAAGGAATATTTTAGTACATTCAACTCCTCACCCTTACAATGATAAAATCCCCCACTATTCCCGTTAAAATCCCTTCACAACCCTTTCATCTCTAGGGCAAACTTCCCTAAGTCTTCTCTGTCTCTCTCCCCCTTACGAATCTTCAGAACCGGTAATTCGTATCTCCGCCGATCGCCGCCTCAATGCCTCAGGTATTCTATCATCCCAAATCTCTCAATTTCCCCCCTTTTGATCTATTCATCGATCTCCAATAGGTCTAATTTAATTTTTTTTATCGAATTTCAATTCGGCAAGCTAAATTAGGGTTTCGGATCTTTTCCGAAAAAGATTGCACATGTTAAAGGTTATTTAAGTTTTATTTGTTTTGTTTTTTGGTTCAGGTTGATAATAGAAACTCTTCGGCTGCGAAGCGTGCTAGAACGGATGGTATGCTAATGAATGGGATTTAATCTCTGTTTAAATTGTACTTTGTGTGTGTGTGTGATTTTTGGGATGTTGTAATTTTGTTGTTAAAATTTGTAGGTAGTCGCAGGGAAGATGACTGGACATGTCCTAGTTGTGGGAATGTGAATTTTTCATTTAGGACTACTTGCAATATGCGCAATTGCACTCAACCCAGGCCAGCTGATCATAATTCAGTAAGTACTAATGGTATTGGTCTCATCATGTTCAAAGAATTTCCAGAGTTTTGAATTCGGTTGATTTTTATTGTTGTAGTTTTGGCTCATTCTAATTACTGATATTCTGATTGAAATTGTTTTTAATAGAATGAGTAATAGAAGAGTAGATTCTTTGAAATTTGTTGCTTAGCAAGTTGTTTTTAATGCATTTAAGACTTAGTTCTATGTTGACATAAAGGAAAAAGTTTAGTGTGTCTTTTAGTAAGGAAGTAACGGAACTGCATGCTTTGGTTTAGTTGGTCGACATAGTCTGTTTCCATTTCAAAAAATATGTTGATAATAATCCTTTTCAATTTGGTATATTTTCTGCCGCAGAATTAAAAATCTGTTGATATCCTTTTCAATTTGTTTGCTATATTTTCAGAATTTACCCCCCCCCCCAAAAAAAAACTCTTTTTACTCTTAAGATTAAGTTGGTAAATTTTTCGGTTGCAGAAATCTGCTGCTAAACCTCTACAGCCCCCGCCAAATTACTCGTCACCTTCTCCGTATGTAGGTCCTGGTGCACCATCTTCAATGTATCTGGGTGTACCACCTTATGGGTCTTCTCTCTTCAATGGTTCCTCTATTCCTCCATATGATGTTCCATTTTCTGGAGGATCAGCGTATCCTTATGGTAGTCGCCTTCCTGGTGCCAGTCCCTTTCAGCCACTTCATATGTCTGGGCCACCCCCTTATTCTGGTGGCTCTATGATTGGAAATGGTAGTTTCTTTTTCTTTTCCAGTTTATAAAAACTATATTTTCCCCTTCATTTCACTTATTCTGTTATACAGGTTATACTTTCATGCCAGTTAAATTCTTGACATAGAACACTTGATCATGTTTCTTTCTTAGCTGCAAAATATGCCCAGCCATCTCCATGCATAGATCGGAAACTTGAAGTATGCTGTTAAAGTATCCCATTAGTAAGTTTTTTATTCTTTTCCAGGTGGGATGTATGGCATGCCTCCTTTGATGGACCATTATGGCTTGGGCTTGCCCATGGGCCCTCCTCCAATGGTATGTTCATAAGGTTAATGCTATTTTGAAACCACTCTTTTTTAGGACTGTCTAATTAAGATTGCAAGCTTAGCCTTTCATAGCACTTATATATGTTGTAATTGCACATTTTCTGGGTCTGGAATTGTAAACTTGATTTACATGCAACGAAAGTATGTCTTTACCACCAATAGGCATGCTGCAGATCTGGAATTTTCCTGATCTGTTTGACCATAGTTTTTAAACTTTTGGTGGAGCTACATTTTTTATACGCGAAATAAATTGTGATATAATTTATATTTTCACCTACAGAGACCAAGGGCAGGATTTTTTCCAGATGATAAATCACAGAAAAAGGGTGCTGGTATGTCATATCTCTGCTACCTTTTATGTTCATAGAGGCCATTATCTTAGCATTTCAACTACTTTATGCAACAATTTGATTCTTCTAACCCTTTGCAGATGCTACACGTGATAATGATTGGGCATGCCCCAAATGTGGGAATGTTAACTTCTCTTTCAGAACTGTCTGTAACATGCGAAAATGCAACACACCGAAGCCTGGACCTCAGGTTTTTCTTGATTTAATTTTATTTAAAACATCTTAATATTTAAAACATTGCATTACATTTTTGTGTTATGAATTTGATTTTTGTTTATAACAATATTCTTTTGTAAATGCAGGCTGCAAAATCGAATAAAAATTCAAGTAAGTTATTTTAAATTTGTAAAAATTATTATCTTATGTTTTTGAAATTTGATGCATATGTATTTTATGCTTTTCAGAACAAAAGATGCCTGAGGGAAGCTGGAAATGTGAGAAATGTAACAATATTAACTATCCGTTTAGGACAAAGTGCAACAGACAAAATTGTGGAGCAGAAAAACTGACCGAGTCAAAGAAGTCCCCCTCACCAACAGCAAATGAAAATGATCAGGTTTGTGGTCTGATGCATTTTATCTTTGTAGTTTGTTACTTGAAGTTATTGTTTTTGTTGACCACATTTGTACAAGATAATAATTCAATGAGTTTTCAGCACTTCAAATTATTCCTGGTTAAAAGAATTGTTCGACTTTGACCTTCCTCTTCTCTCTCTCATTTTGTGTGTTTTTAACTATTGCCAAGTTTGTTGCTTTTTTAAGTACACACTACACGCACATGTGTATACTAACTTGTTAGTTTTTCTCGTCTTTCTTTCCATTGATTTGCTATTATATACTGTTCCAGTGAGTTGTAGGACATGTTTGAGGGTTGAGAAGGTCCAGAGTTGTCGTCAAGCATTGCTCAGTATGGGTGTCTGAAAGTCGGTCTTGTCGTCCTCATGTTGCAGCCGTTGTCAAGTTACTCTACCTTCTCATGATCAGTGTCCAGTTGTATTAATGCTATGGTATTTCTGGTCGTAATGGATCATAGATGCATCATTATGTGTCAGCCATCTAATCTGGAAAGTATGTTACAGGTTGATGCTGGTTTTTATCTTTGAGTTAGGTTTTGTACTTTGGAACCAACTCATGTATTCCAATGACAATGTTACTAAGGACTTGTTAGATATGTTTCTACACTTGCTATTGGGGAAAGTATTGCAGGCTGCACATTTCCGGTTTTTCATTCAATTTTTCTACTTGTCCGTGTTGAAGTACCATTGTTTTAACAGAGCTTCTGTAAGAAATAACAAGTACTCGTCTTTGAATTTTTAACTAGTTAAATTGTCGGGTTTGGGGAGTCGGAATTTTCTTTTGTTTCCATACATGAATGTTGGAAGTAGAGGCCCATCTGGTATCCTATTATTTTTTGGCTGGTAACCCGGTTTAATCAGGGATATATCGTTGTGATTTTGAAAGATTTGCTTTAAGACTCTTCGCAATTACACTCTTGCCCGATATGAAAATTAATCGAGCGTGATTAGTCGCAATGTCTCATGCTTTGCGACATCATAACTTAAGCTTAGTCCCTTTATGACACATTATAATTGCATTGCTGGTTAATTTTTGCTGCATGTGTTGATGTGTCTTTGAGGCTTGCGGTAGATCATCATCTTGGATCGAGAACTCCTTGTCTTATCGTCAGTATTACCTATTGCACAAGTCTCGGTTTGATTTAAGCCTGAGGAAGCTGCCGATATAGAAGCCGGTGTGGAATTTTAGAATTTTCAGCCTTTATGATCGGGTTGTTTTCGATCTAATCCAGTGAAGTGAAAAAGATTGAGTTACTCAAGTTTGCAAGTATCATTTTATAATTCAAAATTTATATTTGAATTTTTTTAGTCGAGTCAAATTTATGACATCTTAGTCAAGTTGAATAGAATGTATTTGTTCAAGTTTTTATCCAAATTTTAATTTAATTTATTTTTAATGTTATGATATCAGATTCTAATTTCAACAACTCTCTCCGACTATATGTGATGTGTATTTCTTTTTGTTCTGTGTCGTATGTTTAAGCTACATTTGTAATGTTATTAAACAGTCAAATGGAGTATTATTTAAAATTATATAAAATATTTGATTTTATTTTTTAAAGAATGAATTTTGAAGATAAAGAATCGAAGAAAATATAAAGTAGTCGATGGGAAATAATTTATACAAAGTTGTAATTGAGGACCAATTTGAATAAAATAAAAAATTGAGGGGCAATGGGAAAGGAAAATATGTTGTCATAAAAAAAGAATGTGGTTTAAATTTGATTAAAATTTAATTTAAGATGAATATAAATTGAAGGAATAATAAATTTATGTGAAGTTAAAAGATTAAATTATAAAAAGAAAGAAATTGATGTTACAAAGAGAGATTGAAATATTGGTTAAATTTAATAAAAAAAATAACTTTAAATATTATTTATTTATTTATATAATAGATCAGAATATTTTTTGTTTAATTCTTTCACACTTATTTAGTTTAAAATTGCATAACTTTGAAACTAAATGTAAATTTTATTTTTACATATTAGATCACATAAAAAATAAATAAAAACATGTGAAAATTGATAGAAACATAGAATTGTTTTGAAGATTTTCACTGTTGTTCACCATTGGATCCCATAGGCGGAAACTCTACGTGGGGAAGCTCAGGCATTCTAACAGAAGGGAGCATTGGATCATCATCATTGCTGTCGGTGCCACTTCCATCGGTGACACCGCGGCTTGACAACATCCCGGCGAACCAATTTCCGAACGATTTGAAAGGGTGGTTAAGACCGTTTTGGAGTTTGAGGAACATGGAGACCTCGGAGAATTCCCAAATTAAAGTGACAACAATGAGGGCCGAGAGCAGACAGTGGGTTATAGTGTTTTGTCTCCTCACTGCTTTCAGCTCTTTCACTATGTCTTCTTCCTCTGCTCTCTTTTCACCGTTTTCTTCTTCATTGCCTGTTTTGGTTATTGGCTTGTCGAGACTTGTAGAACTTCCTTCTTTCAATGATTCTAACTGTTCCACAACATTAAGACAAAATGCTATATTATTACATCGGGATAGGATTATGTAAAATTTACTAGTCTAATACGAAAATTAACTATTTTCGTGTAAAACAGGAAAAATAAATATTAATACACAAGGTTTTAATCTATTTAAATTCAACTAACATCTATACTTTTACATAAAATTAATGAATTTTATACAATGAAAATGAATTATATATATATAATGGAGATAAAGGGCTTTTTTGACATAACGAGTTTTTTATTTAGTCATCAGTGCATCTCGGTTTATATTTTGAGATCTACAATATTTTTTATAGTGTTATTGGAGCTCATCACATTAAGGTGACGAATTCTAATAAAGAAATATTTTTTTTATTCAAACTCGTCACCTCGGAATTCCAATAAAATATAATTTTTTTATTAGAATCTATCACATCGAGATAAAAATTAGAATAAAAAAATATTTTTTTTATTAAAACTCGTCATCTCGACGTGACAGTTCCATGTCACTATAGAAAATACAATAGATCCCAAAACAAATTTTTACTTGCCCTATTAGGTTAAATAAAAATCTCATATACCTTGCTGGACTAATTTTGACACCGAGTAAAATCTTTTAATTTTATAATAATTTAGTATCATTTTGTGAATGTAAATGAATGATCAAGAGTAATGTGCAGTCATATTATCGTCTCATTTTTTAGTTATAAAAATCTTTTCGTTTTCAACATTTAACGGTTAAAGAATAGAATATTCAAAATCTGAGTCCTAATCTGCAATATCAACAAACAACAATTTTATCACTTCAACTATGACTTTTGGGATCTCATCTCATAGAATTCAAATGGTTAAAATAAAGGGTCTAATTTTAATATTAGGTCTATACTATAGTTCTAGTTGTTAAATTGACGATATAGAGTTTTCTCAGATAAACTGGTAAGAGAAGTGGATAAGGAGTGAGATGGAGAAGAGAAATCCATGTGAGAGAGAATTTAAAACTCTGGGTCTCGGTTCTTCTATGAACATACGTCTTTGTTTACGACAAGGAAACTGAACTTCCCCGAAGAAACAAGGATTATTGGTTGTAGATGCAAGATTTGTAACCGTTTCTTACCTGAGAAAGTAATCTGGAGAGGAGCTGCTGTTCATCGTCTTGAGAGAGGTTGACATCAGAGGATGTATCTTTGATTCTTTTCTCTTCGATGAGCCTGTGGATTGCCTCTTTCATCGTCTCCATATCTTGATTTGATTCCATTTTTTGATGAACCAAAAATATATGATTTGCTGTGTTGTTGAGATGCCAAGTTTTGTGGAAGATAAAAGCATCCCAAGACCTCACCACTACCCAATTATTGAGAGCTTCTCTATTGGGTGGTCCATACATAAAGTGTAAGGACAGAGAGTTGGGATCAAACTTAGGGGATTAAATATAAATAGAAATAATATGATGATTAAAACATCGATTTAAAATTAAAAAAAGTAGAGAAATTAGGATCTAATTTACTTAATTTTAAGATTGAAAGGTCCTAAAAAAAGTATTTAAGCTGAAAAATGATAGGTCAAAGCTTAATTTGTCTAGTTTTAAGATTAAGGGTTAAAAAGTAATTATACCAAAAAAGAGGGGCTATGATCTAATCTACCTACTTTCAAAATTAAGAGGACCTTAAAAAAAACAATTGAATTCAAAAAACTAAGTAGATAAAGACTTAATTTCGACGAAAGGACTTCAATAATAGTATGTTCATACTTTGAGGATTAAATAAAAATATTTTAAAGTTTTAAGAGTATTTAAAATATGAATAATAGTTTAAGATGTTTAATGCAATTAATCGAAAGCAAAACTCCATAGAAATTGAATCAATGTATAAAACTACAAAAATATAAAAATGATATGAACACCTACTCAGTTTTTAGAGATACTGAGTTCGAGTAGTTGCATCGGCAGTATATGAATAAATAATAATGGGGCAGAAGCATGGGAAAGAAGTAATTGGGGTGGCAGTGAATCACGGTGACTTCATCCCCTAAACGCCGCCCCACGCTCTGTCTCTTTACGTCCACTTTTTCCTTTGTATATAAACCCCATTCCCCAGACTCCATTAATCAATCACACTTTCCCTTGCAATCTCACCCCCAACCTCTCTATTTGGAAAAACAGAGCAATGTCGGATTGGGGTCCTATTTTCGTGTCATTGGTTCTTTTCGTGCTTCTATCGCCGGGGCTGCTGTTTCAGGTTCCGGGTCACCATCGGTGCATCGAGTTCGGCAACCTCAAGACCAGTGGTGCTTCCATCTTTATCCACTCCTTGCTGTATTTCGGCCTCGTTTGTGTGTTCTTGCTGGCGGTTAAGGTTCATTTGCATTTGGGTTGATCATCATGTCCGGTTCTTTATTGTGTTTGATTTTCTGTTTCTCTTTTGCTTCCAATTTCATGTTTTAATCTCTTTTGGACAAGATTCACGTTAAGTCCGAAGTGAGCAAATAAATTATTGACGTCCCATTTTCTACTTAAAAAGTTCAATCTTATCTATTTGAATATAAAACATCAACTTCTTCAATCCAAATCCAAAAATGATATGAATAAAACATCAATGTAATGCGATTCACAGCAACATTTCTTGAACGAGGAGTCATAGTGTCATAACGTTTCTCCGGGACCCATTAGATTTAAAAATTTGGTTTTCGGGAAAAGGAAATATGATTTTGAAAACAATTTGATTTTTGAGTCGCCATCAACCATTAAGTTAGGGAGGTTGGAAACCATAAATGATAAAAAATGATTTGCATTTTACCCAAGATTCGTTTTTAAAAGTTCGTGAGTCGGTTACGTGTGGGAAAGGGTTAGCACCCCCACAACGCCCAAATTTTGGTACCTAAACGATTATATGTTGTTTAAATATTGAGAATTACAAACTCGATAATGAATTTAAATTACATTATTTATTCATTCGAATTTATTTTAAAAGTGTGAACAATCTTCGGGAATGCACTTCCTTTGTAGTTAAAAGACTTTCCCAGAGATTCCTCTTACAAAAAAAACGATATTTAAAATAAAATTAAACAAAACAAAATAAAAATGCAAAAACGGTGAAAAATACTCGAAATAATTAAATGTGGAACAAAGAAAAATATCGAATATAAAACAATCATTTATAAAAAATCCTCGAAAAAATATCTTCCCTTTAGTTGGGAGATATCTTCATAGATTTCCCTCGCATTGAAATTTTCCATTTTTATACATAAATACATAAATGAAATTATAATCGATAAAAAAACAAAGTTACAAATTTGGACTAATATACACATTTACAAACATGATAAATTAAAATACAAATAAAATTAGACATGCTTAATAAAATAAGGGACTAAATAGTAATAACAAAAATTTACAGGACTAAAATAACAAAAACAGAAAGTTAAAGGACTAAATAAAAAACAGAAAGTAAAAGGGTTAAACCTTAAATACATAAAGTTAAAGGACCACGATAGTAAATACAGAAATTTTACAAAAATAAACTCTTGTAGGGGTTTGATACAAATTTTACAAAATTTTAGGGTAGCCCACATCTATTATCAATGGGGATGGTAAAATATTCGAATGTGACATGTTTTGACTTGATCTTATTAAGATTTTTTTTAATTCAAATTCAAGATAATCTTTATGAAGAAGAGAGTCGAAATCAAGGTGAAGATGAGTTTAAGGTAAAATTTTATATGATCTAAATAATTACTATAGCTTCTTTTATTTAGGGATAATTATTATAGAACCGCTCTCGATATTTTTAAGTATCCCTCTATCTAGTCATATGGAAATAGAAAGAAAAGAAATTATTCAAGTTAAGTCTATATGAGTTTTTATCTTAAAATTTGAGATGAATGAAACATCATCAAATATTAAAATAAACCGAGATTAAATGAAAATCTTTAATTTTTGACGATTGAGGTGGCCGCAAGAAATTACTGGTCTCAACTCGTGTCTATCCTTTGCTGACAATACTCATTGTAAATAATATAAATATAATATTTATGTAATTATTAAAACGTTATTATTTTGATCATTAAACTCTAAAATTATCATTAATGTTGCAATATAATTATTATTTTAGTTACTATTCCGGTAAGTTATTAACTAAATGTGGACATGGATGAACTTCATGAAAGGAAAATGACTAACATATGTAAAGTTGTTAGAATGAAGTAGTCAAAATAGGCATATCGTAGTAGTTAGGCAACTACCGACATCATTTACCCAAAAAGTTGTTATGGGAAAAGGGATTTTCATGCCCAAACTGCTGCCTGCTAAATTGAAATCACGAGACAAATTGCTTGCAATTTGGATTTGAAATTGAAAACCCGATTTCGTGCTCCTCACATATACTCTGCTCTCCGACAACTCACTTCCATCTTTACGGACCATTTCTCAAATACAAATTTCTTTATATATTTATACCGGTCGTCGGTCAATCCCGTCTTCGTATCATAAGTTTTATTACACAAATATTTTGTAAGATGGTAAGTTAACGTTACTCGATCATATAGTTAAATAATGTTATTTATGGAGATTTTTTATCAATAACTTATTATTCTATGATATAATAAAATTATCCGACTATTACTTTAATATAATGGACTCGTTTAGTTTGACGGGATAAAGAAAACACTAAATTGATTATGTATCATCATCATCATTTACCTTGTCTGGAATTCTTGATTGTATCCATTCCGAAATTTGGTTTATTTTCTTCTCATAGGCTATTGGCTCCCTGTGTATGTCGCGGCATGCTTTTAGAAATTTTGAAGGTCTGGATAAAAGGTGAATGTTGTTGAGATTCCATTGTTGGATAAGTTGACAAAACCCATTGTAGTTGTATGGGTTGATCATGAAACACAGCTCCGACGACTTCTGGGAACGTTGGATGAAACATTTTTATTTTTTCTTTGATAACAAATTTAGACATTCCAACAAACCCAGAGAGTTTGATCCATTCAAATTTTAATCTATGATCTAAAAATAATTCATTTACTTAAACCTATCTTATTATCTCTGCAATATTCACCACCCACTCCCATTTAACTTTTACTAGACCTAACAATTGGACGGATCGAATAAATTCGGATTGGGATCATTTCGGATTTTTAAAACTTTCGGGCTCAAAAGGGAGGACACTAAAGAGTCTTTAAGAAAACCCTGCAGCCCGGCTACTATTGTTGTCCACTTGATCCTCCCAGCTGCTGTGGCACTGCATTTGTTGCGCTGCGAGCTCTTGCAAGGAAAGGAAAAGAACCTGTCCGACCCGAAAACATTGTCCCAAAGAAACCAGAACTTGAGGAGCAGTTGGTATTGTCTTCCGGAGTTTGGATCTGACTGCCGACATCAAGGCTGCTTGATTCACCTACTTCCTGAAACCAGATACGTAATGTAACCACTGAAACCATAAACGATAAATCGAGACCAATTGTGACAGAGAGTGGGAACAAACGAATAGGGTTAAAACCTTAAGGCCAGAGCCGGTGATTGCATTTCTTGGAGATCTCTTTACCTGCCAGAAATTAAATCAGAGAAACGGATTTACTTAAGTGGATGTCCGATATAGGTAAAAATAAAATCATCTTTTTAATTTTTCAAACACAAGTGTCAAGCATTGATATTTCAGCAAAAACGAAAAGTCGGACAAACGTAGATTCCGAAGAACAATTTTACTTGGCTTAAAAAGGATGTCTCTTAAAGATAAAGTAGAACCAAATTTCTCAATGCATGCACAGAGATAAACATGACAAAAATCATTAACAATCTAGTGTGAGAATTTGATGACATGAATCTTATGGTTGAGAAAAGATTAAATAAAAGCCAGATAACCGAAAAACCGCTATCCCATAAGGTTTCTTTCTTATACCATTGTCACCCTTCTCGATTAATTTTCTGTTCTAATTCTCATAATTCAGGACTCTGTAAAGTCGACTAACCTTGGGAGTCCCATTTGAATCAGAAGATGGAGATGGTGATGACGATTCTACTGGTACAATAGGAGGCAAGGATCCACTCTGCTTAAACACAAACAAAAAGACTTGTGTTAAAATACAGCAGGCAGTTCCAAACATCAATTTCTCATTAGCAAACCTAAGATAGACTGAACCGTGATTTGTCAAACAAATTTGGAACAAACTTCTCCATTATTTAATTTTAGAGCAACTAATCAATCATTCATTAAAGAGAAAAAGAATCTGACCCTAGACAGTGCTTTCATTGGAGCATCAAGAGCTGGCCTGGAGGAGCTAGCCGGTGAAGCCTGCAAGAGTTTAACACACAGGATGAAGAAACGTGAGCTTATGAACCAACATGAAAGCCGACATCTAAAATTTGTGGATATAAAAACACAAACAGTAGAAATATGATTATGTCAGCAGTTATCCAAACGAACAATAATCATCTGTCGATGTTTAAGTATACCACTATATTCATTAGCATGACGAAATCTTGACAAATAGATGCCACTGAAAGAAAGAGAGATAAAAAGCAAAGCACATAATTCATTGCAGATCAGATGCATGACATAAACAAACCTGAATACGATCAGGGGGTTTATTCTGTTCCATAGTCTGGGCATAATCACACAACCAGTTTACTCCTTCGTTTGTCATATCCTATGAAGGTCATAGAAAAACATACACATTAACAAAAGCAATGAAAATAGTTGTGTCTCATTAATCTGTATATTTTTGTTTAATGTTAGAATTACCTGCTTCCCTTCTATTCTTTTAATCTTACTTTCCTGAAAATAGACCCCCCGCCCCCAATCACAAGAAAAGAGAGGTCATCTTAGTTTCACTTCCAGAATGTATAACATACAGCAAAATCGAATTATCAAATATGCTTACCAGATTTTGAACTACATATCGAACAGATTGAACATTGGTGTTGAGCATCTTTGATTTATCTTTTATCAGAGTAACCTATACAACTCAATCAATTTTCAGTGAATATCAATGAGACCTCCTATACACGAAAGTTAAGCTACTACTACAGTCTTATATCTCACCTCCTCTTGTGTTGTAGCAGTAATATCAGCAATTTCATCCAGACGATTATCCACACCCTCAATTCTTGACGATAGGTGCCGTCTTGTAACCTAGAAGGGAACAAGAAAAATTAAAAAAAGGAAGAGGGGCAGAGGAGAATTCAGTCAATTTCAAAGAAAAACAATAACATAAATATGGAAGCCAAAATCATGTAACTTGGTACTTGAAACCTTCATATACTGTGGACATTCATTGATGGAGGTAGTATATGAGAAAATTTAAATAAGAAACGTTATGCCAGTAAAAGAAAAACTTGCCGAGATTGACGAGTAAACACTCTCAAGCTGCTTGGCTATGGCATTACGTGCATCAGATAAACTACGCCTCGTTGCAAACGTCATATCAGGAAGTCTCCAACCCTGAAACCAATCAAGGAATATAACTTTTAGCCATGGGTAAAGACACATTTTTTACACAAACCGTTTATTTGAATGTTTTTATATGTAGCACTTCCGATACTTTGCTAGGAACACATATTAAACTCTTAGGGGTAAAAAACTTCAGTGCTAACATATAACCATCAATCCATCAGCTTCAATTGCTGAGTCTGTTATACATCACTCCTAACAAAATTCTCGCAAACTGTTAAAATTTCAAAGACTTAACATTTTGCAAGATCCATACCATGTCCAAGTGGCAAAACAATTGCTCATCCATCTTAAATCTAAACAAATTACTAATTGGAGAAAAAAGTAGGGATTAATGAGAAAAACATTGAACTCTTCAAGTGTAAAAAATGAAATATAACAAAGCAGCCGAAAGCAAAGAACAGGTTTCTTCAACTTGGCAAAGCCATTTACCATGGCCATTAAGAAAATGAAAATGTGCCAGACATTTTCATGAGGCTCAATTATCACAGAACTCAACCACCTTTCTAGTTAGCTCCTTAATAACCTACACACATAAATACACTCAAATGGGAATAAAAGTTCATTACCTTCCACCAAACATAGCCATATCCAACTACAACAACAACAATGATTATACTGTATTTACTGGCACCTGCATCAACAAAAGCAGTCCCAAAAATAATGCTCAGGATAGTGTTGAATTGATCTTTATTGAAAGTTATTGTCTCCAGGAAAAATAAGAATAGCAAGAAAACAGTTATAAATATAGGAGTACGCAGCTAATTAAGAGAAGGGATGCTCATTGTTTTATCATTTGTACAGAACTATGGATCCATAATAGTTGTGCATATTGCATAAAAGGATGCCAAGACAATATAATTTGGGAAAATTTTGTTAAAATTTCTAATTAGAATGTGTGCCATTTAGTACAAGATGCACAACAATATTTTTCCTTTCAACTGTCAAAGAATGGAAACAATCATAACCTGTTCCACGCCCAGTAACAATTGTAATTGGTCGGTTTGATGCCAAGATCTGCAGTTCCTGCCTAAGGCTGTTAACCTGTAAATGAAAAGAAGTAAAACAATATATAATTAGACAAATTTAAATAGTAAAGCAAGTGTGAAGATACTGGGGAGTCATCATCCCCGAAAATGATAAGCACGCAGAATTAATAACTAAAGGCACCATGAATGCCTAACATTATCAATAATATATTGCTCAAAAAAGTAACAAAAGAATGAAAATATATAGGATAATCAATAATGCACACAAACTTAATCTGCCAAGTTTCCAGATCTCATGCTAACATTTTATTTTCCATGATTTAAATAAATATAAAAATTTCTACTCCAGTAAAATTGGCAAGCAGCCACCTACAATCTATATATTAAAATGTCGGAATAAATTAATTTTCATTTGCAACCTACTGTGAGTGTGATCTCTAAAAAGTGGTGATATTATTATTATTTGCAATCATCAATACCTGGAGATCACAAGTAGCTTTTCAACCATAATTATTTAGTCAAGGGCCTATCCATAAAAAAAACAAGGAGAGAGAAACTCATAAAAGCATTTTTCATTATTTTCTGGTTGGCATTTCAGTTTTCAACCATACAAATCAAACAAGCAGAATTACTTCCAAATATCGTTCAGCACTCATAACGAACATAAACGATCAAATACAAACCTGAGCCACCAAATAGTCACTGCGTGGCTTTTTAACGGACGAAGTAGAATCATCATTCTTAAGTTGCCGATAAGCAATCTGCAACAGGAGACAAATAATTACAAAGTCAGGAAGAAAGCAAACGCACCATCATCTTAAATTCATATATTTTATGGAACACAAACGTCTTTAGTTTTAAGTCATGGATAAGAAAAGTGGAAAAATACCTTGAAAGCACCAGAGACAAAATCAGAAACACTTGACATACCTCCTTCTTTCGCAAGAATCGAGCCAACAATTCCTAAAGGACAAACAATGGCTAGTTTAAGTAGAGGCATATCAAAACTGTTAGCTACATTACCCCTCTAAAAGGGAATACACATTAAAGTAATAACATCTACAGCACCAAATCTGGAGTACCCTACTTTCACGCAATTCATACGGTTCAACAATCAATTGATATTTCACAAGCAAATGAATACAAAAAAGTGAAACTTTTAGTGATCAGATTTTTCTTTAGTCCATTATATTCTGGTAGTTTGACTGCCATTGTAGTGCCCATCCCCCCCCCAAAGTTTTTACAAAGGACTACATATTGAAACCATAGAATTTCTAATTTTTAGTTCCAATTATCATATGAGCAAGATGCATAGCCAAATTGGTAGCTACATTACTCCTATAAAGAAAAAAACATATTAAAATAATAACATGCACAGATACGAACATACTGTGTTTGAACATAATCATTAGTACAATGAATTGTCTAATCAATTCATCCATTTAAATACAGCCACCGTGTGAGCTTGCCGTTCTATATCATGACAAGTGATAGGATCATTCTCCGATAGTAATAAAAGAAATTCACAATCAGATTAGTAATTGGTTGTTTAATGGACATTCTAAGTTGATATTATACATGCTCGTGATTCCATTTAAATATCACTTGAGCCCACGGGCTTTTAATTTACACCAATCCTTTGTGTTTCAAACAATTTCCATAAGTGGATAATCTTCAGCTAACAAAATCAAGATTCCTCTGATTCAAATCACCACAGCTATGATCCAGCTCCCCAATGCACCGTCTAATATACACTAAACAATAGCTTCAGGAGGCAGCTGGGATTACACGGATTCAATTAATTGTGAAATTTTACCAGCACAAATTCCCAACGGATTCCAAAATAAATCAAATTACTGGACAACAGAAATCCCGAAAAACTAAACCCTAGTCAATCAATATCCAAGATTTTTTCTTAATCCCTAAATCTAGTTTTACTAAACCAAACAAAAATAGATTACACGGGCTCTCAAAGAAATCCCAGCAATAACTGATCCGTAAGTTAAAAAAATAACTGGAAAATCGGAGAAGAGCGATGATTGTACGGACCTGCGCCTACGAGGATAGTTAACTTGCCGAGAGGAAGGGCCATGGCCGATTACGGTTGGAGCTACGTAGCGAGCGTGAAGACGGGGACAGTAGAGATTGCTGCTAAAGTACCATGAACAGAAACTAATCTTTGATCTTTCAATTAGAAGTATTTATCATTAATTGCTGATTTTATTAAAATTTCTATTATTCATCTGAAGACGGGTTTTTTGACTGATTGAGTTTATTTATAGCCGAGACATTTAAGAGGATATTTTGCCCCATCATAAATTAGTTCTTTACTATTTATTTTTTCAATTTATCCCTCGATTTTTATTGTGTCTATCATGTTAGTCCCTTACATATTTTTTTAAACAAACGTGATATAAAAAAAATTAAAGGATAAATTAGATATTTAATCATTTAATTTTTATTGCATTCTATTTAGTTAACTCTTTAACATTGTTTAAAAGGTTTTGGTAAATTTATGCAAACCCCCTTTAAACTTTCCTCTCAAGATTAATATTTTCAAGCTCCCCTTGATTTATCGATGTCATATTATATCTTCTCAAGAATGATCTAAACATTGACAAGAACAAGAAAAAAAATTATTTTCATTTCACACTAATCAAACAATAATAAAAATTATAGATCACTAAATAGTTTAATTCTTCTTTTCTTCTTTCAGGGATTAAAAAGTAAAATAGGAGGTAAAAACATTTCTATTATCACATGAATGGCTTAGTGTTGGAGAATTTGTAACCCATTTAATCTTGTTCAATACAATACTTATTTAAGAGACGAGAACAAAAATAATGTCATTTATTTCAATCAAATTAATATTTAACTAAATCAGACTATCATATCTGCATTGGAATACATAATTTTGTAAACATAACAATAATCTATGTTCTTTTGAAGATAGAGTTATGAACATGAAACTTAGACATGGTATGTGTTTTAGATCAAGAGCCAACCACATCATAAATAAGTTATATAGTCAGCAAATATAATTTGAGGGAAGGCCTATCTCCCGTGTCATGTTTATAGATGTAGTGACAATTAAGATTCTAAATGTACCCTAAAATTTAAGATAATATAAAAAATCATTAAGTTTTGTTTCAATAATTATTTTAATAATAATCCTTTAAAAATTAATAATATAATCATTAAATTTATCAACTATAAAAATTTAATAATTATTCTGTAAATTTAATGATGACTATATAATTTTAAAAACTTGAATAACCAAAATTCAGAAACCTCAAATTATACTTAAAACACATAAAATATAAGTTTATTAAGACAATCTATTCGACTATTCATTTCACAAACAGAATTTGGATTGAAACTCCTAACCGAATCCCATCTGTTCCAAAACTTACCTAAGAACCAACTAATCATTTGAACCTACAAAAGTCGTGAGAGAATAAATTACTTGAAACACAGTAATTTGTAGCAAAAAACCCAAAAACTCATTTGCATAATTTTATGATCCTCTTCCTCAGCCGCTATTCTAATGATATGCCCCCATATTAAACGACCACTCTTGTTCCCCTTTTCCCTTGCCAGTTAGATCCAAAAAGATGCATCTAAAAACCGAAAACCAAAGTTTACGAGATGCTCAAGTTTGTTAGGCGCTGAACGCGTTGAACAGTTTGTTCCAGTCCGAGGTGCTGAAAGCTTCTGACAGTTTGTCCCAGTCCGGGGCATCGATGCTGGGAGATACAAAGGCGGCACCTACAGCGACTAGGACGACAACAAGCCCCAAAGCTTTCAAGCACCCATGGCCACGTGATAGCTTTCCCGATATGATCTTGCAGTACTTGTCTGCATCTTGAAAGAGTGACTGTCTGGCCGCATCGGCTTCATCGCTTGTTGCTTTTTCATTCTGAAAACAGAGATGAGGAAAATGATACACAGATGATAATAAATCCTCTCGATAAAATGCTACGAATATAATGATTTTTTTTATCAGAAACTAAATGTATAGAGGATATGAAGGATCGTTTTAAATCATAAAAAAATCGAACATATCAGTATCAGACATATATCCATAACTGACACTAAGAACTGAGTCCAAATAATTGAATATAATAATGTTGGACAAACACGAGTATCTCACGAGCACAATAGAAAGTACCTTGTTCCTAAAGTCCTTGACAGTTTCCCTCAAACGGTCGAGAGTAGTAAATTTTTCAGAGTGTTGTTTCCAATCCTCTGAAAATCTTCTAAGAACAGCAACACTTGCTTCTAGATTGTCAAGATAAGCCTTTTCCTATTCACAACAAGCAATAGATAAAAACAACAAATCAGTAGGAAGCATCTTCTACTTCGTACAAGCACTTGGTAAAAAACTAAAAGAGTTCAAAGCTCACCCAAAGCTTGTAGCATTCAGCATTTTGGTTCAAACACCATACGACTATTCCGGCTGCTTCTTTGGATAACCCGGGTGTGGCTGTTTGAAAAGTGTCATTGAAACCACCATTAGAACAAAGTGGAGGAAGGGGAAGTGAAAACCACAAATAAGAGATGTTTTCAAATACAAAACTTACCTTCACCAGTCGTTTTGATGGCAAAATGAAATATCTGCAGAGCCATCTGTTTCATTGCTTTGCTTCCATGAGATCCAGCAAGAGCCACTTCCTTTATTGTGGGATATATAGCCTCAAACCTTTCAGTCGCCTGCACACCGTTACCATAACATAGTAAGAAGGATGAGAGACTACAATGATTTCGAATATAATCAATTACATGATAAATGCAGAGTCGAACCCTTGATCTAACCTTTACTCTAGACGAAGATGCAGGGAAGGTAACTTGCATGAGAATCTCAAATGAAGATGGTGGCACCAGACGCTCCCCTTTCCTAACAGCGGCATTTACTAAAATTGAGCGAGCTTTTGAGGCAGATAAATCCTTTTACAAAAAGGGAAAGTATTTAAGAATCCTTTTATCAATTTGAAGTTCAAAGACAAGTTTAAAAAGTGGACCAGATAGGAAAAGAGGTGGAAAATATAGAAGCTTTATACCATTCTACTAGCTGTAAAATTAGATCTCTGGACTGTGGATTACAGTTCTTGCCACCAACTACAGGCAAGAGGTGATGTGCCCACATGTACAGCCCCACAGGAAGATCTCCTCGGGATGCCTAGACAGTACAACGTGTATGTGTGAAATAAGAAGCATATTAAAGAGGAATGTGTAACAGATGCTTAACAGTCTTCCACATTTATATATCAGCTAGACTGATGTATTGTCACCACTAACCTGAATTATCATCCATACAATAACTGGGAGTTTATCTTGTCCTTGATATTTCGAATTTTCTCTCAGCTTCGGCAATACACTAATTAAGGCATCAGGTTTACGTCGCAATACCATTGCTAATGCCACAAATATACCAACCTGCACAACATTTTTATATCAAATCCAATTTGAGGTGGATTGTACTTCTTGCCAAAAGTTAGAGGTGGATGCCTTTTAACTTGCAAAGCTAAACACTATAATGCAAAACATCTATGGATCACATGCAAAAGAAACAAACAAAAGCAAAAGGGAAGAAAAGTTTCTCAAGTTCATTGAATGAAAAGAAATTCAAGCTCCCTAGCGGTCAATAAAAGCAACCGTCAAAGCATAAACAGTTTGTCTCCCAGATCTATCGCATACCATAATATTCAAAAGAAAACATACTCTAGGTGCTTCCTAGCTTGCACATCAGCAAGAGAAACTCCCCATAATTTTTTTTTGAGAAATTTGAAAGGAAATAATATAGAAAAACTGCTAATAAGTTACCTCAGAATTTGAGGATAGAAGTGCCAAAGAAAATAATGGATAAAAGGCCCAGGAAAATAACCAATATAACAGCAAAACTGCCAATAAGTTACCTTAGATTTCGAGGATGTAGGTTGCACACTTTTCTTGGAGCCTTTAGCGCTTGCTTGTTGGGCCACCAAATCCTCAAGAATGATGTCTAAGGACCATAACACGAAGAAACCAAGTGCCTCAAGGGATTGTTGGCTGATCCACTCAGCTGATGTCTTATAAACAGCATCAGAGATATGTGAAAGGGGTATCTGTCAAGGAATAAATTAACTACTTTGGTCAGAGAAAAGAATTAAAAAAGTTTAACAAAGTTAAGCAAACAATGATTGTCCAAAATTTTGAATGGAAGTACGAGTGAAAGATCAATACCAAAACCCAAGTTCATTTAACCTAGCCCCTAGATGCAAACTACCATCGTCAAGAAAAAGAATAGTGCATCTAGAATGGCTAGCCTCTATTTCTTATTCCAAGTTAATAAACATAATATGAAATCGTTTACGCACAAATTATATTTGCATTATTTAACTGATCCATTATTTATAAGCTACTAAATTATAAGAAATCATATGCGAAACCAAAGCAGTTTAAGTGATTCAGGGTTCTTTTAACACTACCCAACGAATTTATAAAATACATGTAAATACTGTAAGCTACCTAACCCAATAAAGCAGTTTAACTGCCTCCTCACTAAACACTGAAAACCACAATAAGAAAACTAGCGACTCCTATTTAAATCAATTCAAATGGTTTCATATCACTGAAAACCACAAATTAAGATCGCGGTCCAATGCAAAATCATCATCAGTCGGTTTCAATTACAATCATGCAGATAATTTTTTAAAGAATTCCAATGACATTTCCAAGGAAAATCACGAATGATAACACATTTTATCTAGACGAACCACAAATCAAGCTTTGGTAAAGCCATTCAATTTAACCTGTCAAACATGCAAGAACTTACCTTTCAAGATAAAAATACATTAAAAAAATGCATCCATTCACCGATCCAACAGACAAATTCAAACTTCCAGATTGTGATAAATCAATACTAAGAACAAGAGGGAAAAAACTCACATCAGCAAGCTTGATAACAGTACTCTCCTTAAACGTCTTCACCCAAGGAAACTGTCCCGCTACCACTTCCTGAAATGCCTTCCCATAAAAATTCGCAAACTTCTGCATTTGAATTTCCGGTTGTTCGCCACTCAATTCCTAATCCCGAGAGCAACGAAAAAAAATTAGATAATCAATTGATTCCTTGAAAAAATGAAATGAAATCTATAATAGGTGCATGCTTACAGCGAGATGAACTGAGAGACCAGCTGGATCGATCTTCGCAGCCGCCTCAGCAACAGTAACCTTAGGCTTCTTCGGCTTCTTTTGCTTCACCTTCTTTTCTGCTTCTGCCTTCTTTCCGTCAGGCTTAACACCTTCCAGATCACTATCATCGTCATCATCGAGATCCGATCTGTTATTCTTAACCTTAGCCTCGGCATCAACGGCCTCAGCAGCTCTTTGAGCTTCGAGGATCCGACGGCGGCGATCCTGGGACTGTTGCTCGAGGGAAAGGAAAACGTTAGGAGCGCCGTTACTTAGGGTTTCGTTAACGCGGAGCTTTTCGGGATCGGCCTTGGATTTGGTCTTACGTTGACGTTTAGGATACAAAACCTTTTGCCAACCGTGGTCGACGTGGTTGGCGGCGGAGATAGCGGCATCTTGAACTTCGTGGAGATCGACGGACTCCATTAGTAGAGACGCAGGCGTAAATATTTAAGAGAGAGAACTATAGGAGAGAAGGAAGGAAAAAATTGGTGGTTAATAAACAGTACACTGATAATACACACACAAGTAAATAAATGGACAGAACAGATAAGATATTTTTCTGAACCGTTCAATTAATAAATTATTTACAGTAAACTATAAGTTAATAGTATATACTTTTTTAGTTATTAATTTTTATTATATTTTATTTTAATAATTTTATAATAATCATCATAGATGTAATACTCAAAATAGAGAAAATATCTCATTATTATTGTCGCTAATTATTAAACATAGGTGATAAAAATGAAATAAAAAATTATAATGTTAATTATAATTTTCATTAAAAAATAATATGGTAATTAAAAAAATAACAATAATTTGATGACTAATAATACTATTTACTATATTATTCATAATATAATAAATTTAACTTATTTTTCTTTTAAATTTTTTGTACCTATTTGAGTAAGATGGATATTAGGTTTGTCATTTATGTTTAAATGGTTCCGACTTGATTTAATCTTACAGACTCTTAAAAAATGAGTTTAAATTCATGTTTATATCGAATCTTTTTAAGGATGAAGTTAGATCAAGTTCAAATTTAGAGGGATAAATACTCAATATGACCAGACTCGATCGAGAATAATAATATAATTGACGGTTATATATTTAAACATAATTACTATCATACATATTCTTCTACATATTTTAAATTACATTTCTATTTTATAAAATAAAAATGATAGCCAACTTTTCATTAAAAAAATGATAGTTATGTGTGTGTGTGAAATTAGGTGTGATTTTTATCCCAAAAATCAAATTGGATTTTATATCAAATAAAACTTTCTTAATCCTAAATTAATTTGATAACATACAAAGAAGTATAATAATCAGATTAAATTTAATTCGACCAAAAACTCAGTTAGGCCCTTTTTCATGTTCATCCCTACATGCGAGTTTGTAGGTTATGATAATTTTGTTTTAATTTGTTTAAAATTAAGGATAAACTACATATTTAGTTATTCAGTTATCATTTTAGTTTCGTTTTGATTACATAACTGTTTTTTAAAAATCATATCTAAAATTAAGTTTTGTCACTCGTTGTTAAAAAATAACGACCAACTAATACTTAGTCATCTAAAATTATGTCTGAAAGACGTGTACACATTGCTAATAGCTATAAATTCTTTTGAACATATACTATTTTATAATCGCCCAAAACTATCGAAGAAAATTAAGTTGCACTTGCACAGACAAGGCCTTACGTTTCAGCTCTACTAAACAAAGATGAAATCATTGAGATATTTGGCCGGCTCTATATAGTTGCTGGTGTAAACTGTAAAGGATGATACAGCCTTTGCCCCAAAAAAAAGGATATCAGTGAAATTGCTTCACGATCTTCACCCACCAACTAGTGAAGTAATATCTCATATTTTCATTTAATAAATATAATCCCAATCTTTAATTTTTCATCAATATAATTATCATCGTAAATCAACACAAAATTCATTAATTTTATACTATATCTTAAGTGTATATATTTAAAACATCCTTATAAAATTACATCATTAATCCTTTATATGAGAACATGTTTAAACAAATGTCAAACATACGAATATTCTAATTACAATTTTTCTCCCATTTTACATAATTTGAGATGATTATGAATTGTATTCCTTTACATAATTAGGACATTAATTCTTCTACTTTAACATTTTTTTTAATTTTTATTTATTAACATAAGTTGATCTTTAAATATTGATATATTATCGTAAAATAGAGAGATGAAATCTAGAATTACATACACGTTCAAATATATGTATATAAAATTGAGTTTGGAGAATTACTCTCAAAATATAATATTCGATTTAAATTGAGTTTGGAGAATTACTCTCAAAATACAGTTATACACATATTCTCTACCATGTCCATCAATGAATGAATGAAAGAATGGAAAGAGATTTTAAGATTGAGGGATTTATGAATCCATGCTTTCAAAATCCCAGTAGTTGTTTTCCTGGAAATTGCTTTAGTCGACCTTCCATGATTGTCCTCCATTTTCTCACTCTTCGGCTTCCTGCATAACACGAAGTTCCTTGCCCCTACCGATCCAATCGTCTCCGCTGAACTCAATGCTGCAATAATCAAAGGACACAAAAAACCAAACACCAAAATCATAAATAATCCAACGCTTTTTCTCGTAAATAATGTACTTTCAAGGACCAGAATCATAAATAACCCAATCATCTTTCAAACATGGTTTAACAAAATTATGTCCAATTAAAATATAAGACTAAATTCCTAATTAAAGAATACTAGAAGGACCAAAATCATAATTTAACAAAAAGATGAATTCGATTTTTGAATTGCATGAACTTACCATCTGATCCAACACTAGGACAGTAAAGGAGAAAACCGTTGAGATCCGATCCAAGAACAGGTAGCCGACCCTCGCGAGCGTAGGATTTCAATGCAGTATCGATAACAGCAGCAACGAGTTGTTCTTCATTAACGATGAATCGAATCGGCCCAGAACTTCCTAAAACAGCGATGCTAATCCACAACCTATTGCCTCCCTTAGATCCTTGATTCTTCTTCTGCTTGTAAAGCGCCATTACTTGAAATCTGGGTTGTTTTTATGGAACGGGGCAGAGGCAATGATGAAACCAGGTTTGTTTGCAAGAGGAGAGAGTGATCGGCCTTGATTCGTAAAGGAAGAGCATCAAACTGCTGTCGGTGCGATTTGTTTTCACCATTCACGATAACAATGAAAGATTGAACTTGGGTTTTTCCTTTGATTTGATTTTGAGAATTGGAGAGGTATTTTGTTTTGGACGTTGAGGCTTGGAGAGAAAGAAAGGTTTTGAGGGTATTTAAACGAGGGAAATGTTGGTTCTGAATGAAGGCTTTATAAGGGTTTTTGTTTTGAGAGCCCGCGCCGAACGGATTTTTACTTGACATCAACGTATTTGTTAGTTTTGTTTTTGTTTTTGACTTTAAATGCTTTATTTATTTATTTTTTATTTCACAAATTATAAATCTAGCATTCATCCCATCTAGAGGGATAAGGAAAAAAGAACTCCAGAAAAAATGGGGAGTGATTTTAGTAGATCTGAAATTCATAATTAAGGGAATATAAGAAAATAAAGATGAACATTTTAACTAACTGACCAAATATATTTGCTCCTTTTCTTGCATTTCGAAAAAGGTTTTGAAATTGTATAATATTAGAAGGAATGTTTTGGATAGGGTGAATGAAGGGCGATCAAAGGTAAAAAGGTTATGACACTAATCAACTAGGATTTTGGGTAGGAAAGAAAAAAGATTAAATAATTAATAACCTAATAATTATTTAAAATAAAATTAGGATTAAATTAATATTTTTCTTAAATGTGTAAGATTTATTAAATTATTTTGATTTAAGATAAATTTGATTGAATGTGTAAGTTTTGCAACTAATACTATTACTATATCATATCAAATCATCATTTATATTAAGTCAACAATCAAATCTATTGACACATACTAAAATAGAACGACACGTATTAAAATAGAAACAAAATGTATAATTATGCCAAAAATAATATATGATGATCAAAAGAAAAATACGAAAATAGATGAGATACCAGTTTACCCTCTATATGATTACATTAATGAATTCAACCATTGTTTTCTATTTAGCAAACTATGGCTTTGTTAGTTTAGAATCCAAGTTAAAGTAGAGAAGTGGAAAATGAAATCAAAACAAACAATGTTGTTTATAGTTAACAACAACAACGAGCCAACACCGTTGGTTTGGCTTTGTAACAATGTTAAGTAGAAGTGGATTAACATCGGACGACGACCAAACAACCTTAATAATAACAACGACAGGCAAGTTAATACCGAAGACATCGGGCAACCACTTAAATCTATTTTTCATTTTTGATTTTCAATTCGTTTTTTCCCCTCATTTCTTCGTCATCTATTTAAAACACCAAAACCTCTGTTGCATAGACATTTCAAACGATTGATTCGATCGAATCTAAATATTTATCGTATACAAAAAAACATTAATTATTAATCATCGATTCGATCAGTTCAATCTATTTCATTTCTACGTCTGATTGTGTTTTCTTCTTCTAGGGTTCTTGTTTGAAGGGAAAAATCAGGGGATCTTGCTTGAACAATGGAGGATATATTGGGACTTCTAAAAATCAATGTTCGAAGAGGCTTTGATCTTGCTGTTCGTGACGCCATTAGCAGTGATCCTTACGTTGTTATCACCATAGCTGAACAGGTCAGTTATCTTCATCTCATTCACGAATAGAGATTCAAATAGCGGCATCGCGATCGCTATATTTCGATGGCGACGGTGTCTGAAACCGTTATCGCGAAAAATAATAGTGTGAAGCGGGATCATACCAATAGCGGCGGATTGCGGCCTAATTTAATGGATAACGATCAATCGCGATAATAGCGGACCGATATTCCGCTATTATTCTGTTATTTTATATTATTTAAAACAATAGTTTTTTTTATTAAAAACTCAGATTTAAAAAAAAATCACGAACGTGATATCCTCAATGACCGCAATAACATCTAGGGATGGGCATGGTATCCGAACCCGATCCCGACCCCACCTGATCGGGTCGTTTTTTTATCGGGCTCGGGTCGGGTCGAATTCAGGTTTATGGTGAAAATACCCGGCCCGATCCGGGGAAAATATAATTTTAACTTTTATATTTAGAAATAATTACAATAATACCCCTCTATATATTATTTTTTGTTCAATTAAATCAATGTTTTTATTGAATAAAAATAATATTTTTTATTATTTCAACCAAGGTCGGGTCGTATCGCGTTCGGATTGTATCACCAAAAATCGGGTCGGGTGGAGGGTATATATTTTTCGGGTCGGGTTGGCCGAATCTCGACCCATGCCCATCCCTAATAACATCAGTTATATTCGCAACTGTGGTAAATGCATCGCGACTGAAAACACGACTGCAACCGCAATTTAGATCCATGTTCACGAACTCCGTTAATGCATGCTCGATATATCTATCTTTTTAAACCCTAATGGTTAATGCATGCTCGATAAAACAATCATCTAAATATATGAAAATCTTTATTAAAAGTAAATAAATTCATATATAATACATATATATGTAGGCATTCAATGGATATTTATTTTAAATATAATTATCTAAATTAAACTTGAACTAACAAGTAGATCTCTGTAAATTACGTTGCATGAATTTCTGCAGAAATTGAAGACGCATGTGGTGAAAAGAAACTGCAATCCCGTTTGGAATGAAGTGTTGGTTTTTTCAATCAAAGACCCTCATGTTCCCGTCCATTTAGTAAGTCAGTAATATCAATATAATTACCTGGAAGGCATGAATCTTATCTGTTTTTATTTATAAAATAGTATCATTTTTTTAGAATTGAAAACTTATTTTGTCTTGTTGGTATAGTCGGCATTAAAAGATGGCATATGATAAACCCGAGAGTAATATCGTAAATAAAGGAAAATTATGTATTTAAAATGGCAGACAGTTTACGACAAAGACACGTTTACGGAAGATGATCGAATGGGGGCGGCAGAAGTTGAGATTCAACCCTACATAGAGGCATTAAAGATGGCGAAGGGTTTGCACAATCTCCCGAGCAGTTGCACACTGAAAAGGATTCAACCGAGTCGGGGTAACTGCCTGGCCGAAGAGAGCAACATCGTTTGGGAAAACGGTAGGATCACACAAGACATGCGAATCAAACTCCAAGACGTCGAATGCGGCGAGATTCTGCTCCATCTCGACTGGACCGAAACTCCTGGTTGTAAAGGTTTGGAAGGTGAAGGTATGCTTACTTTAACCATATCCATATTCACATAATACACAATATTAGTTCAAATAGTCATTTTGTCCCCTTTTTTTTCGAAATACTTTAATCTTCAATGTTTCAGTTTTTTGTCAAAATAATTTCTGTTGAAAGAAAATCGTTAATCGACTAACAGTCAATACATGTTGCTGATATGACATATTTTCACATGTATTTAATTGGATGATGTGTTTCATGTCATGTCATCTTTTTAAGTGATTAACATATGTTACATCATTATTTTAGATGAAATATCATATATCATGTCATCAATTAAACATACGTAAAAATGTAATGTTAGCAATATGTATAGACAATTAATCAACTAACGGTTTTCATTTAATATACGTTATTTTGACGAAAAATTGAAATGTTAAGTGTTAAAATATTAAAAGAAAGAATTAAAAGGCAAATTGTTAATTTGTGCAATCGCGGGGGACTAATTTTATTATTATACCATTCATATTTTACTCAAAGTTCCACTTACATAAAACTTAAGTATTCACGGAAAACTTTTGATGCACGTACGTTATAAAATGTGTAAACTATGCCGATAGTCCTATGTATTTTGTATGATCGGCTTTAGTCACCAAAATAAATTAAGATAAAATGATACATAATATTATTAGTACTTCCAATATAAACCCCTCTACCATTAACTTTCGTTCACTCATTAGTGAAATTATTACGTGACAATTAAAAAAAACGTGGTATCCACTGCCCCTTCCCGTTTTTCTTCTTCCCCCAATAACCGCCCACCATCGTTTCAGACAAAAACATTGAAGAAAAAAAAAGACAGCAACAGAAATCCCCATGTCGTAGCTTTGGTTCTTGGTCATTCTCCGACGAACATTACTACATCTTTTTCGGTCGAAACGTCTCTTGTGGTGGTGTTGGCCGGTGAAGGATTGGGATGAATTCGACGAGAGGTTCCTCGAAGAGAATGGAGTCTGAGTTTCATCTTTCATTGCTTAACCACCACCACCCGCCGTGAGGATTATTACCAATTCCTTGAGAAGATGAGCTGAAAACGTGGCATGGGTTGACGTTGAACGTTTTTTGGAAGGATAAAACTTACAGATGAGTGATGGCGTGACACAACGTCATCGTCTTGCACGCTGGAGCTGTACAGCGAGTGGAGAGGCAAAACTGAGAAAGGACAGGGGGCGGGGGGAAGCCTCACCGGACACGCGTAGGGAGAGTAACTCGACGAGATTCTCCAAGCTTTGGAGGTTCAGAGATTTTAACCTCCCATGTAGTAGCAACGAAAAGATGTGTTCGTCTTCTTAAACTATCCTCTGCCTTCTTCTTCGTCATCGAACGGCGTCGCCTTCAGCTCATGAAAAACTTTACGTTAAAAACTGATCACAAAGGGAAGGGGCTAAACGGCGGTCGTATTTTTCATATAAGCAGGTCGGGTTTTTCACTAACGTCAGCGCTCAAAGTGATTGAAGTAGTAGAAGAAGAAGAACGTGGAAGAAAAGCAACTTATCGGCACTGTGTTGGGTTGTTTACTAGGGTTGTGAGAGATTAGAGTGTGGTGAGGTGGCTATATCTACGAGGGTACTTCGTGGGTGGCTCGTCTTTTGGTGGATATGGTGACGGCATGTGTGGAAGGCTTATGGGTTTAAGTTCAAGAAGAAGAAGAAGAAGGAGGAGGAGGAGGAGGAGGAGGAGGAGGAGGAGGAGGAGGAGAAGGGAGGAGGAGAAGGAGGAGAAGAAGGAGGAGGAGAAGGAGGAGAAGAAGGAGAAGAAGGAGAAGGAGAAGGAGAAGGAGAAGGAGAAGAAGGAGAAGGAGAAGGAGAAGGAGAAGGAGAAGGAGAAGGAGAAGGAGAAGGAGAAGGAGAAGGAGAAGGAGAAGGAGAAGGAGAAGGAGAAGGAGAAGGAGAAGGAGAAGGAGAAGAAGAAGAAAGGCTTTTGGGTTTAAGCTCACGTGGATTTTTTTTTTTAATTTTTAAACGTTAAAGGTTAACAGGAGTTAACTTCCTAAAACTAAAATTAAACGGATCGATAACGTTAGGTACTATTTCCCCTTAATGTTAACGGGAGTTAACAACTAAAAACTAAAATCGAACGGATCGATAACGTTAGGTACTATTTCCCCTTAATATTTTTTTTTGACCAAAGTCGATCATACCGAAAACATAAGGGACTATCGGTATAGTTTACCCTTATAAAATTTAGACTTCACAATCAAAAGTAGAATTATAATATGAACTTAAAGGGGGATAAAACATAATTTGAATTTGAATTTGAATTTAATTATTAAATATTAAAATATTTAAATTTTACTAGTCGAATGACCAAACATGATTTATGTTTTTTTTTTCAGAGTTGAACTCGAATAATTTACTATTTGGATCTTATTTGAGTAGAAGTAACTTCCTATCTTTGTTGTGGCCAGCCATTGCAGGACCATGGAACCTTAAGCCCCCCGCTGCAAAGAAACAACATTGATTCCCAGATGAAAGATATAAGAGATCGGATCTGCTGATATTTGCTTGGGGATAAGCATATGATTTATGTCACTATATAAATATGTAATCTGTATTGTAACATGTAATTGGATTGATCTAATCGTATAAAAGTAACCTAATAATTTTAAGAGTTATATTAATGAGTTTTATGGATCTTAACTAATGATCATGTCAGAAAAACTGAAACAATAAGAGTAATGAAACAAAAATATGGTCAAATTAAAAGAAAATATATATAATTTTAAGGGTGAGTTAATAATTAGGCCAAAAATCCAAATGATATGTAATGCTGGGTAAGTTGACAATTTCTACGGTTCTACCTCTGCTTCTTCGTTTCAAAGAGCAAATAATCTGTAATTATTCACGCAAATCCATTTGCTGGCATTTCTAAACTAAAAATAATGATGGGAAAGTCAACAGAAAAGGCTTGCTTCTTCTACCTCTGCTTCTTCGTTTTCCATCTCACTATTGCGACTGATATCTTCCCCAAGGAAGCGCTCCCTACAAAATCTGGGTATCTCCCAGTCAATCCAGCCTCCAATTCAGCCATTTTCTACACTTTCTATGAAGCCCAAACTCTCACTTCAACTCTTCCCCAAACCCCACTTCTTATATGGCTCCAAGGTGGCCCCGGTTGCTCTTCCATGACCGGCAATTTCTTCGAGCTTGGACCCTGGCGTGTTGTTTCCTCTTTCAGGCAAAACGTCGAACATTTGTCGCTCGAGCCGAATCCAGGTTCTTGGAATCGTTTATTTGGTTTACTCTTTCTTGATAATCCTATTGGAACAGGGTTTAGTATAGCTTCAACGCCTCAAGAGATCCCTAGAGATCAAATCTCTGTTGCGAAGCATCTTTTCGCTGCGATGACACGGTTTATCTCGTTAGACCCTTTGTTTAAGCATCGTCCGGTTTATATCACCGGCGAAAGCTATGCTGGGAAATATGTTCCTGCAATAGGGTATTACATTTTGAAGCAGAACACTAGATTGGTAGCTTCAGAAAGGGTTAATTTGAGGGGTGTCGCCATTGGCGATGGGTTCACGGATCCTGAAACTCAGTTGGCTACTCATGCTGTTACTGCTTACTATTGTGGTTTGATCAATGAGAAGCAAAGAGATGAATTAGATGAAGCGCAAAACGAGGCAATCGATTTGGTTAAAATGGAGAAATGGAGCGAGGCAACTAATGCTAGAACAAAAGCAATGGATTTGTGGCAAAACATGACAGGGTTAGCCACTTTGTATGATTTCACAAAGAAGAAGCCTTACCAGACAAGTTTGGTCACCAAGTTTCTCAACGTAAACGCGGTAAAGAGAGCCTTGGGAGTCGACGAATCGATGGTGTTCAAGAGTTGCAGCAGCGTCGTAAGGGCTGCTATGCACGAAGACATGATGAAGAGTGTGAGAAACATGGTGGAGTTCCTGGTGGAAAACACTAGGGTCCTGTTATACCAAGGATTGTACGATATAAAAATCGGGGTGGTACCGAATGAGGCTTGGGTGAAGACGATGAAATGGGATGGTATTAGGGAGTTTTAATGGCTGATAGGAAGATTTGGAGAGTGAATGGTGAGGTTGCCGGTTATGTGCAGAAATGGCAGACTTTGAGCAATGTTGTAGTCTTGGGGGCTGGTCATCTTCTTCCTGCTGATCAGCCATTGAATTCTCAAGCAATGATGGAGGATTGGGTTCTAGAGATTGGACCCTTTGGTGAAGAGCAGGAAGATGCTTAAACCAGGTATTTGACGGCTGTTATTTCCATTTTACAAATCCAATCTCTGTATGAAATCGTTTCCTTGTAAGAACACATAGAGCAAAGTCAATGTTGTGATAGTGAAACCCTCCTTTACGTGCTAAGTTTAGGAGCCTCTTACTCTCTCTAGGCTGATTCATTCATCTAGGCAAAAATGTTAAAACGTTATTTTACATTAATATTGATTTCTATGACTAAATTTAATAAAATATTTTTGTTAATTCTAGTAGAAATGATTTGGATTTATAAAATGGCTAAACTACAAATTTCATAACTCAACTTTAAATGTATTCTTGTTTTGATCACTAAACTTTAAAAAAAAATCAATTTGATCAATTTAAATGTAACTCGAATGGTAATTGATGTGGTCGTTTTTATGCTGACATGGATTGTATTATGTTGACGTGGAAGCCACATGTTGGCCACGTCATCTTTTTTTCCCCTTCATTTTTGCTTTCTTTTTTCTTTTCCACAAAGATGAAACGCTCGTCTCTGTGTCTTGTCGGTGTTGAAACTGTTGTTCTCCGGCATCTTTTCCATCAACACAAGACATTGATAAATTCGTCTTATCGTTTCCTACCACTGAATCAGTTTAATTTTTCCCAAAATTTCTTTTAAATTCATTGAATTTAATCCAAAACTTAGAGGAAAATGATTCCGATATATAATTTTCACTATTCAATCAAACATGGAATCATAATATATAGCTTGTCTCCTCCTTCTCCAACTCTCCATTGTTGACATTTGGAAGAAGATGCTTCATCGTCGGAAAATCAAAGGGACTTTAAAATGAGAGGAAATTTAGGACTTTTTCATAATTTCAAAAACTAAAATCTCATTCATATTGTTAATTATTTAATTATGGAGTAAAAGACGAAATAGTTCAAAAAATTAGCGATCAAGTTAGAAATTTTCATTGTGACCAAAATAAGAATATAGTCAAATTTGAGTGATGAAATTTGTGTTTAAATGGAGGCAATCCCATGAGTGGGAAAAATTATGAAAAGACCCCTCTACAAATTATTTATCTAAAAGTTAGGATACAATAAAAAAATGTTTTGACTTCAAAATGATTGAATGATACTATGACTTTTAAAAAGAGAAAATAACCTCAGTGACTAAAAATGTCTTATAATATACTATTTTAACTAAATTTTTTTTGGATTTACCAAAATGACCAACTAAATCGCAATGCGATCGATAATTCGCAACGCGATCTCCGGTATCGCAAATCAGTTTCCAGATTCGCAACGCGAACTTCGACTATCGCAATGCGAACTTGGACCATCGCAATGCAAACTTGGACTATCGCAATGCGAATATGTAAATCGCAATGCGATAGTGGACTGATGGTATTGCATTTGTTTCTTAAGAATTTTCTCTAAAAAGATAGTATTCACGCGGACGTATCGAAGACACGTATTACCACGACCACGACCACGACCACGACCACGACCCCGACCCGAGACGGACGGACGGCGGCGGCGCGCGAGAGTCCCCTTGTTCTCTATCACTCAACAAGGAAGTGGGAAAGTCAAGCCTTAAATACCATTCCCAATAGTGTTTCCAATACTATGTGGGATTGAGCATTACCAACACTTGTTTCCAATACTATGTGTGATTGAGCATTAAATAGTGATATTATTTTTGAATGTTTTGCTTAAAATTGCAATAATTACGATTGATTGTAGATTGACTTTTAATTATGACATATTTAATCGTATAATACTAATGCAATTGGTTGTTGATTCAGTATTTAAGGTGCATGATTGTTAATTGTTTCCTGAATAATCACATTGTATTGAAAAACAAGTGTTGGTAATGCTCAATCCACATAGTATTGGAAACACTATTGGGAATGGTATTTAAGGCTTGGCTTTCTCACTTCCTTGTTGAGTGATAGATAACAAGGGGGACTCTCGCGCGCCACCGCCGCCGCCGTCCATCTCGGGTCGGGTCGTGGTCGTGGTCGTGGTCGTGGTAATACGTGTCTTCGACAAGTCTGCGCGAATACTATATTTTTAGAGAAAATTCTTAAGAAACAAATGCAATACCACCAGTCGTTGCGATTTTGGACTATCGCAACGAATTTGGAATAAATCGCAACGCAATAGTCCAAGTTCGCAAGTTCGCATTGTGATAGTCGAAGTTCGCGTCGCGATAGTCGAAGTTCGCGTTGCGAATCGATTTAGTTGGTCATTTTCGCAAATCCAAAAAAAGTTGGTTAAAATCGTATATTATAAGGCATTTTTGGTCACTGATGTTATTTTCTCATTTTAAAAATTATAAAGTTATGAGTCAATAAAATAATAAAATTTGTATTTTAATTATCATAAAAAATTAGAATTTAAATTCGATCTTAATTCTTTTTGACTTTGCGTCTATACTCAAAGCACAATTTTATACAAATAAATTTAAATGATTTGAATTTTAAACATATTTACTTTTCAATAAATTAAAGAATCTTCTACCCTTTCTCCTCTCAACACTTTTCTTTCCTAAAGAAGTTATGTTGATGATTTAGTTTGATCTAAAAGAAACTTTATGGATTTTAAAAGCTAAATTTATATTAAATTGAAAATGATTTTTTTTATAGTAAATTAAAATGTTATGTTTTAATTATAAAATAGTATCAATTTAGATTTTTTTAATTGTTGACAATAGATATATACATAGTTGTTTAAATTCAAAATCTTTAAAATATTATATTTTTAATTACTAAAAGCACTGACTAATTTAATTTAAATATATACATACATATTAGTTATCAATTGGTGTAATAAAATGTGATAATGCAAAGTTGATTTATAACTTTTTCTCAAATGAAAATAACAACAATAATTATGACAGCACGAAAGGCGGGGCCGCCAAAGACCCTCCAACCTACTGATCCTCTGTCATTCCGTCAAGAGAAATATCGTAAACTAATAATTGATCCACTACTCTATGTGGCATCATAATTATCTTTTAAAAATAATTTTGGTCATTTTTCGACAAATATATTTTTATATTAATTAATAATTTATTAATCAATTAATTTAAATCAAATATCACAATCAAAACTATATTATAATTAAAATTAATCTAATTCAAAATTTCAAAGGTCTTTTTCTCTTCTTCTTCTTCTTCTTTCGTCCAAGCAATTAGTGTTTAAGTCAACAAAGAATTAAGCCGTAATATTTGAGGGCCCGTTTCTTTTGATTTGTTTTGAAAAACAAAAGTTGGTTAAACAATAAAGAGTTGGAAATTAATAGTTAAGAAAAAACTGGAGGGTGTCAACAGTTTACACAGAAGCATCAATGAAGGTCCATCACCGTTGATCCACAGCCTCCATTTCTACTCTTTCTTTGTTTCCTTCGCCTTTCATCGCTTCTTTCCTCTGTCGCTATCTAAAGTAGGCACAAGAGAAAAGAAAACCATAGTCTCAATCAACACGTAATTAATAAAAACCAAATAGTAGTTTGAAAATCCAAGTAAAAAACAGAAGTAGAATCTGGGTTTCTTTTTTGGTAGAGTATACAGATGGGGACTCTTCAAACATGGAGAAAAGCATATGGCGCTCTTAAAGATACCACCAAAGTCGGTCTTGCTCATGTCAACAGTGATTACGCGGTATTTTTTCCTTCTTCGTTCATTTCTCTATATTATCTGAATTTTGATGGGACTTTGAGTTGTGATTTTTGAATTCTTTTTTATTTATAATTAGGATTTGGATGTTGCCATTGTTAAATCTACTAACCATGTCGAGTGCCCTCCTAAAGAAAGGCATCTTAGAAGTGAAGTTCATTCATCCGTTCTATTTCTTTTTTTTTTGGAATTTTTAAGTTTGCATTTGCAGATCTCAATTAATTTCCTGGAGTTCGTTGCTTGTAGAAATCTTTGTTGCTACATCAGCGATTCGGCCTCGAGCAGATGTTGCTTATTGCATTCATGCACTTTCCCGCCGATTAGCCAAGACTCGTAATTGGACGGTACTTTTACTTTCACGACTTTTTATGATGATTGAAATAGTGGCAGTAGGAACTCCGTCTTTAATTTGATTTCAAATCAATGTGTGCAATTGACATGAACATTTCCAGAGTTTAACTAGTTTCATACCGCTAGGTGGCTTGCTTATTTGTTAGCCTTATAGCATTAGTGAGTGTGAAATTGTAGGAGGTACTATACCATGCATTGTATGTAAAATGTTTACTTATGTTATTCGGACTTCGGTATGTGTGTTGAATACGCGTATAAGCTTTTCTGCGTATTTCGAGGGTCATTTCTCCATTCCTGTATCCAGATACACCTTGGACACGGAGCGTTGAAGCAACATAGATTTATACTATGTTGTGGTGCTAGAGTTCAGTTAACTACGTCCGCACTACAATCTTTGATATGGACAAACAAACTTATACTGTAATTTTTCAATAGGTTGCATTGAAAACACTCATAGTTATCCATAGAGCATTGAGGGAGGGTGATCCTACTTTTAAAGAAGAACTTTTAAACTTCTCACAGAGATCACGCATTCTCCAAATTTCCAATTTCAAGGATGATTATAGCCCTATTGGTAAGCTTTTAATCCCTCGTGTACATGTTTTTGTGTGAGAGCATGCATATATATGCACATGCTTCTCATTGGTAATAACTTCAGTTTGATTTGCTTATTTCCTCCTCCACCCCTGTTTGCAACGCCTTTCAGCATGGGATTGCTCTGCCTGGGTACGTACGTATGCATTGTTTTTGGAAGAAAGACTTGAATGTTTTAGGGTTCTGAAGTACGACATTGAAGCTGAGCGTCTCCCAAGACATGCTCTGGGGCAGGATAAGGTATCATTCTTTTCAGAAATTATATTACACCGAATTACATCGGTGTTTGGTTTTACCCTTTGGATTCATGGCCTGCTGCAAAGTTTTGTTCTCTTTAATGGGCAGGATTTCGGCAGAACCACAGAGTTGGATAATGGAGAATTGTTGGAGCAACTGCCTTCTCTACAGCAATTGCTTTATCGTCTCATTGGTTGCCAGGTATTTTGTTATATGTTGATCTTGTCGAGTTTGAGTTTTGTTTACTCAACATGTTGAGATTCTTTCATATGTTTATGTTTTTGTGGCCTACCTGGAAAGTTAATAGACTTGCCTGCTGTCCTTGCAGCCAGAAGGTGCTGCTGTAGGGAACTATGTTATACAATATGCTTTGGCTTTGGTATTTTTGCTAGCTCTTTCCTTGTTACTTATTTGTGTCATCTTAATTTATGAAGAACTATTGGATTGTTAATGATGTCTTCTATTCCAGTGTCTTCTTTTTTATGTTCAGTATCATAGATTTAAGACAAAGATGTCGAAGCCATTTTGTATCTGCACATCCTTTCTCTATGCTTTCAAATACTCCTCCCAATAATCTATTTATCTCAACATAGAAATACGAGAAATGATTAGAATCTGATGATGGCATTGCTTTTTATTTGTAATTATTTTGATCTCACAGTATTACCATTTTCAGGTATTGAAGGAGAGCTTCAAAATATATTGTGCCATTAATGGCGGAATTATCAATCTTGTGGACAAGGTAATAAGGTTTTTAATTGTATGTAGATGAATTTCCTATTTTGAGGCAAATGCTTTTCTTTTTTCACTTTCAAAATGGTTGCTAAAGCTTTGATGTTTATTGCAGTTTTTTGAGATGCCAAGACATGAAGCTGTCAAAGCTCTTGATATATACAGGAGAGCTGGTCAGCAGGTGAAGATATAATTTCTTTTTTAATTACCTTCTCATTTGGTTTATAGTCGTTGTTGGTCTAGTGATGTCTCAGTGTCAACAGTTAAATGCAATGCTGGTTTCTTAAAATTTTATTTAATATTTTTGATGCAGGCTAATAACCTTTCTGATTTCTACGAAGTTTGCAAAGGATTGGAACTTGCTAGAAATTTCCAGTTTCCAACTCTCAGAGAGGTATGGGTTCTATGGAGATGATTTGTTGTTCGAGTTGTCTCTTTCCTGAGTTTAGTGTTCAATCATTTCGATGTTAATCACTAAACTTGTTCCAGCCCCCACAATCTTTTCTCATTACCATGGAAGAGTACATTAGAGAGGCGCCACGTTTGGTTGCTGTTCCAACAGAAGTGGTTAGTACTCTTTTTACTATATTTCAAAGCACACACACATAAATATAAAACATACATACATACATGTTGTGGTAGCACTGTATGGTCTCTCTCTAATCTCTCTCTCGCTCTCACACATACACATGTATATATATTGTTGATGTATAGCATGTAATGGTCTTTGGGTTATGTCTACATGTTATGGAACTGATGATGCCATTGTAAACAGCTTCTATTAACATACAGACCCGAGGAAGGTCCTTGTGAAGATGCTAGATTATCCAATGATGAACCTGAGCCATCCGTGCCTGTTGATGATGTTGGAGCTTCCACCGTTGTCACCGCCCCTCCTCCACCTCAAACCAACATCGATACAGTAGACTTACTGGTAAGGGTTCCTTTGATGCTTCATAATGCACACTTTTCATCAACTCATTCTTTTGTTGATTGCATTTTGGTGGTTCCAGGGACTGGATTATTCTGCCCCGGATGCCTTTGCATTTGAGCAAAGTAATGCTTTAGCCCTAGCCATAGTTCCAACTGATTCTGGTAAACTACATTTCTTATTCTTTCTCGTTTCATCTTTTTTGATGTTGCCATGAATAGCTAAGCTTGCAATTTTTTATTTTGTAGATACTGCATCGAACTTTAATTATGGTGCTGGTCAACCGAATGATTTTGATCCGACTGGATGGGAACTCGCCCTTGTCACTGCACCGAGCACTAACATTTCTGCAGCTACTGAAAGGCAATTGGTATGCACATTTTGTACTTTCAAGTCTTATTTCATTCTTGTTTTTGTTGTTCGGGTGAAAACAGAATACATGAAGTACTTTAAAAGCTGGTAGTGAACTATACTATCTAATTAATTCGTTGCCAAAAACTTTCAGGCTGGCGGGTTAGACTCACTCACTCTCAACAGTTTGTATGATGAAGCGGCGTATAGAGCTTCCCAGGAACCAGTATACGGGACTGCGGCTCCAAATCCATTCGAGGTAATTGACCCATTTGCCATGTCGAACAACATTGCTCCCCTTACAACTGTGCAAATGGCAGGAATGCCTCAACTGCAACACAATCCTTTTGGCGCTCACCAACCCTATCCACAGCAGCCGATGCAGGAGCAGCATTTGATGTTTCCCAGCACATCGAATCCGTTTGGTGATGCAGGGTTCGGGGCATTCCCGATGAACTAAACGATCCCTCTTGGTCAGCCTCTTGTCAATAATAATCCTTTCGGGAACACAGGCCTATTGTAGTGTTAAATTTCTAGGGTCGATGTGTTGTTTTGGTCGACCGGTCTCCGACGTGTTTCGGAGATGAGCAAGTGTGTAGGCTGTTTTACTTTCACTCCACGGGTTCAATGGCTTTCGCTTCAGCATCAGTTATTGCATTTGTTTGGGTTGTAAAAATCAGTGACTTAAAAGGTCTATGATTAGTAGTGATTTATATATATGAAAGAAAATATAATTATAAAAAATTGTAAATGAATAATAAAAAAAAATTGGATCAAATTTAAAAATGAAACTTGTTGATGATATGAATAGAATATGGTGGTTCACAATAATTCACCCTTAATAGGTTTGGATTTTGGACAAGGCTTTAACTTCTGGATATAAAATTGTTAACATATTATTTAATTTATTTTTTATTAACATTACATCTAAAATGATTTTTTAACTTTTTAATAACAATAACAAAATTAGAGAGAAAAACAATTTTAGATAGATATAACCAATTTTATTATTAGAATTTGATGTCATTTAATTTAACGACATCAACTCAATTTTAGGTATAAGCATCGTTATATGATTAATTTATTGATAAGTTGATTTGGATTATGTATTATAGATTGAAATATAACTAATTCATTTCGGTTTAATTTTTAACAAAAGATGAATTGGATCGTATTGTTTGGTTTTTAATATTGAATCCGGAACCGAATGACATAAAAATCAAAACTTTTTGTCCAATTTGGATTGGTTCAGTTTTTCCATTTTTAAATGTTCACCGGTTTTTAAACTCAACGTCCAAATAAAGCAAACTTCAAGATTAAACCGAGTGCAAATATATAAGTTTAAATTCACAGAAAATAATATTATTAGCTTTAGGATTTTAATTATTTAAGTTTGTCTTATAATAAAATAAAAAAGAATTTGTTTGGATCTTTATTTAATTTCCTGTTAAAACTCAATTTGAATTGAAGCAAACATGTTTCATATGGTAGAATGACTAGAACGAATTGTGAAGTTAGATGTACAGACCAAATCGAGAAACTGAACCGTAAAATGACAAGTTGACTAAATCATATAATTTATTTCGAATCAATTTTTCGATTTTTTTGAGGCTCATTAATTATAAGGACAATCCTTCCACCTTAGTTTTCTCTGTTCACAACATAATGATTAAAATCTTTAACTTTACTTAAGGGACTTAATATATAATCTCGCTAATCCAATAATTACTATATCATCTGGATTCAATTATAAACATATCAAGTATAGAATAAAAAATATATAATCTGAAGAAACTAGTGGTTAGTTTAGATAAGTCTTATCATTTTAATTTATTTTACTTTTCACCCGCATAGTTGGGCAAATATAGGTAGCACTAGCACCTACATATACATATAGGCGGGACATGACATTTGGTCCGTTAATTTATTTACAGCATAAAAGTAAAGTCTTAGGGAAAAGGGTTGGACATGTTTTATATGTTATCAAGTGAAGCTGCCCTTCCTGGACGGAGTAACACAGTCCTATTATTGAGGGGTTGAGTTGGCCTTGAATTGTTCCTGTTTTGCTGTAAAGACACACAGAAAATAAAACAATTTGAATAAGTAGTCAAAATGGATCTTAATTAGGGTAATAGCATGCACTTACAGGAGGAAGTACGTTCCTTAATGCTTCGACTTGACCCCGGCTGACTTGCTTGATCTTAATTATTAGGATAATAACAAAATATCTAGGTTAGTAGAGTTGATGGAATTTTAGTTTGATTGACATTATTATTATTATTATTATTATTATATAAAACACAAGGATATTTTCGATATTATGTAAGGTGTTGAGTCGAGAAAAATACTTCTTGGAAGACTGTCCAAATCACACCCTCGGTGCAGGGAGGAACCGTAAGTGAACCATTGTATCGATAATAGCTAGAGTCTGTAAATCCAACTTTCTCTGGATTGATGGACAAAAGGGGTATGTCTGGCTGCCTAAGAAGTAATATGAAGGGATGAAGCTGTATATCGTATAAAATTTATCAGTTTTATACGAAAATATAATTATAGAATGAAAAAGAAAACACAAAAGCAGAACGTTGGCATACGATTGCAAGGAAGGGATCAGGCAGGCCATAACGGTAAAGCATGGACACAACTGCCGTGTCATTTTGGTCACTGCGATGAACAATGTGAACCTCCAAGGGAAACCTTACTCCGTCGAAAGTGTGCTCCGAGGGTGAATGCCAGTGAATATTTTGCACTCTATAAGCTCTTCCATTTATGGTAATGTTCCCACCATTCCCTGTAAAGACCACCTGATTCACCAAATATGTATTCTTTTATTTATACGTTCGTTTCTTTCAACCAATCAAAATATTAACTGTTGAAGGGAATTGTCTTATTGTGTATAAGTAAACAATTTACGGCGACATCTATAGTTCTGTTCCTCAAATCAGCTGCAGCATATCTGTAGTTCCTTTGCAACTCTCTCAGCTCAGAACTAACTTGGACCGGTCGGATATCGATCGGAGATTGCCGTAGTCCGGTGCTGCAGTTTATATTGAGTGTGCCCCAACTCGACGGTCCCCTTCCACTTCCTTCATCGTAGTTAAATTCGTCTTCTGTCACAAACGAATTACTAGGTCAGTTTTAATTTTTTTTACATATATAAAAAATAGGGACCAAGTTGAAAATCTCAACACTTCATTAGAAAAGTTAAATTTAACACTCAACCTTTTAAAAATAGTTGAATCATTATTATTTTTTCAATAGAAATATTAATTATAACATTAATTTTTTAATGACTCTAACATGACAGCCCGTATGATAGTCAACTAGTACGTCATATTATTTTAATATTTTAATTAATGTTTCTGTTAAAAATATGAGACTTGATTTATTTGAAGGTTGGAAGTTAAATTTAACTGAAAAAGTATTAATATATATAAGGGTAAGTATGATGATGAGAAACGAAAGAGAAGAAGGGAGAAAGTTAAAAGTTTTGTATTCAAAGCTGAGAGTAACATACCCGATTCAGTTTGAGATGAAGCATGAAGAAATAGAAAAGAGAAGAGGAAAAAAGCAAAGACAAACTTTGTATTGCTTGAGAATTTCATGGCTCTCGAGTTCAGTTGCCAACTTGAACTCAGTATTTATAGAGAAGATTTGAATGACATCACTCACATTGCTTCATCCACGTACACTAGCTTTACAAGTGGACAACAAAACAACCCATAGCCTTTGGATTCAACTCTAATATTGATATTGAACAATTCTCTTTTGAATTTATACGAATAATTCGACCCTTTTAACAAGTTTATCAGAATTAGTTAGTATTTTTTTTATAATTTTAAATTATTTATGGACCTAATATATAAGACAAATAGTATTATGTTATCACGAAGTACGGTTGGATTACCACTTCAAAATGGCTAAAATTTCAATGTTTAAATTCAATTTAGTAAAAATAAAAATATTGAGAGTTAAGTACATCTTTTATTTACTTTCCTAACTCATTAATGTTGAACTGACTATTTAAAATTAAATACCTATGCCCTTGATACAACAGCAATACTACTTGACCCATAAATTGAAGAATACTAAACGCTTAAACATACTTGAGTTCATATAATATATAGATAACAATGTCAACTAAGCAAAATTCTACCAATCCTATTCCCCAAGCTTCTAATTATGCTTAATCGATTTTTATTATATTTATATTTAAGGGGGATTATTCAATCAATTCAAGTGAACAAATTTGGGTTAACAAGTTTATGAGTATCGTTTTGTCATTCGGACTTTATTTGGATTTTTTAGTTGAGTTTATGAAATTTGAGTTTAGTCGAATCAAATGTATTTGTTCGAGATTCTATTTAATTTTTTTATAAATTCTATTTAAATTTAAATATAATTATTTATAATGTCATGTTATAATTGGTTCTAATTTAAACAACTCTCTCTAACCATATATGGTATACATATATATTTCTTCATATTCTTTTTTTTGCATGTGTAAGTAAGACTTGTAATGTTATTTATTAAATCAAATATCATATAATATTATGTAATATATTTATATTATTTTTAAAATAAGGACGTTTGAGGATACGGGTGAGAATAAAGAACTTTCAAAGAGTTACAATTGAATGACCAAAATGAATAGAATATAAAGTTGAGAGACTAGATTAAAAAATCAGAAATTTATTATAAAAAAAGGATCAAATTTATATAAGTATTCTACAATGGTAAAAGAGTATGTGATACAATTTTAATAAAATTGAACTTAAAATAAATTTTTTAGTATTCAAACTTGAAAATCTTAATTCGACTCATACTAAAAATTTGAATTGACTCAGATAATTCAAAATTCGAAGATAAATTATATTTTGGCATCAAAATAAGTTATATCTATATAAAGATGGACAGTCATTAATTGATTTAGTCAACGTACCTTATGCTCCAATTAAAACTAACAAGAATTGAAGTGAATTTAATTATCAATTTGAATTCTACAATAAATTTCATTATATTAAATTTATGAACGCCAACTAATTTATGGTGGAAATAATAGCTAGAGTCTGTAAATTCAACTTTCTCTGGATTGATGGACAAAAGAGGTATGTCTGGCTGCCTAAGAAGTAATATGAAGGGATGAAGCTGTATATCGTATAAAATTTATCAGTTTTATACGAAAATATATGTAGACATCAATTTTTTCATTTTAAATTTAAATTTATTATTATTATTATTATTAAAATTATTATTATTATTAATATTATTTATTATTTATTAAATATTACAAAGCCCAAATCACAACCTAATTACATTCAAATCCCAGACCCAACCAGAACCGGCCAAGACTCAAATGGAAACCCTAAATTGATTTGGGGTTTCAGCTAGAGTTTCTAAACCTTAGCGCCGCAGCCGCCTCTCCAAGATTCCAGAAGGCCAGCCGTTCCCTCTGCCAGGTGGTCCAACGTCCAGCTGCCGACGCTCCACCAGTGCCACGCCTCCGATGAAGACTCTAGAAGACTCGGAGCAGCCGCACACGTTGAAGTCTAGAGTGAGTCATCACTATAGCTTGGTGACTCACCAAACTTTGCCCTATTATTCGGTCCTAAGAAGACACTGTGGTGGCTATAAAAGCCACCACCGAACCTGCAAAGAGAGGGGAGAGAACCACAACAAGCAAAGACGGAGAGCAAGAACAGAGAACAAAAAAAAGAAAAAAAAATAGAAAGCAAACCACAAAACAAAAAGAGAAGAGCGAGAGAAACTTACCGGGGAAGACAACACCTCGATCGGAGTCACCACCGGCCTCCAAGCGTCACCAAAAACCTTCAAAAATCGAAGGTATTTTCCTAGATTTGCTCCGATCGGGAGCTATTTAAGAGAAAGGAACACTGGAACCGTCATTAGGACGGTCCGATCTACGTTTTGGTATAAAAATAAAATTTTTCGGCCACCAGATGCGGTGGCCGGCGGTGGGGATTACGGCGGCAGACGGCTGCCGGCCGATGACCGGCTTCCCTCTGGTGAGGGAAGCTAGAGAGAAGCGAGAAAGAAGAGAAAGAAGAGAAATGGAAACGATGGCCCTTCGGGCCAGCTGGAAGGGGAGTATATACCCTTTCCCAAACGATGCCGTTTTGGGGAAGGGTATGTCCGTAATTTCACCACTGGACAAACCATTTCTGCGGCCCTTCAGGTTTTGTAAACAATTCATTTTGGTCACTGAAATTGACTTTTATGCCTTTTAATTCATTATTTAAATTTTGTGTTTATTATAATTTAATCACTACAATAAATTTCTATATATTTTAATTTAGTCTCGTAATTTTATTTTATATTATTTTAGTCCTTTCCAGCATAATTACATACTTTAGGGTAAATAACCAATTTAATCCCTTATAATTTTATTAATCTATATTTATATCCCAAATTAATTAATTAGGTTAAATTACACTATTAACCATTATCTTTCATAATATTTTGAATTATTATATTTATTTTTAATATTTTATATTTAGTTTTATAATTTTAATTTCTTTTATTTTGATCATTATTTAATTACAATATTATTTTGTTATTATGGCTTTAATTATTATTTTATTATTATCTTAGTCTTATAAATATATATTATATAATATTTGTTTAAATAAATATTATAAAAATTATAATTTATTTTTATTTAAATATTTTTATGAAAAATTATTACATTTTTTAATATTTATTTTATTTTTTAATATCGAAGAAAAGAGCTGTCTTAAAGCACCTAGAAGCCATTTTCTGATATTTCTAAATAAATAAATATCTTATTTATACATATTAATATATTTTTCTTAAAATTATTTGAAATAACATAATTATGAATTAAATATATCTTTGAATTCTTAAATTTCTAATAATAAGAGAATGTATAATTAAAAAGTACCAATTTTGGGCGTTGTAGGGGTGCTAATCCTTCCCTAAACGTAACCGACCACGAATCCCTTTTATATTAAAAAGAAAGAATTTTTGGTTATAAACGCAGATCAGTTTATCTTTTAACTGATGTTTTCTTAAAAACTCTTTTAAAAGATAATTTTTAGGTATTCGACCTACCTTACCCAAAAGGTCGATGGCGACTCCCAAATTTATTTTAAAAACCATTTATTCACGTTATTTTTCCCGCCAAGTAAAAAATTCGTGCCCGTGCGAAAACCGGTTACGACAGCTTGGCGACTCTGCTGGGGATCCTTTCAAGCTTTTAAAATCAATTATAAATTGTCTCTATTAATTATAAATTAAAAATTCATATTTAATTATAATTCTTTCTTTTCAAAATTTTTTATATATCTTAGTATTTCATAGTATATATTAATATTTCATTTTATTTGCAAGCATTTTATTTCATTATTTATTATCTGTAGAGGTTTGAACATTTCTCCTCACACACAACACTTGCATTACATAAAGCTCTATAATTGAGTTTGTCCCTTTTAAGTGGGAGTGTAAGCGACGTCTTCGTGAGAATTTATTCTCCGTGTCAGACTTAACAAGTAACTTTCGGGGTTCATGCTCTATGTCTTCGTGAGAATTATTCTCCGTGTCAGTCATAAAGAAATGTGTCCCTCGAATTGAAACTCGATCCGCTTAAAGTCTGTAATGGACTAGGATTGAGGGTTTTGACAGCCCAAGGGGCATCAACAAGGACAGTTCGAGTACCTTTACTCCTAGAACTGAAAACCTGCATATAATAAACCCTAGAAACCTCCGATCTGAAACCATTTCGTAGGTATACACAAAGGAGAAATAGCTCTAGTTTTAATTTATTTATTTCCTTTTCTTTTTCCTGAATAAATGCATGGAACTAGAAATCATGCGGTTAGGTTAAATTTTCCAAAACAAAGCATGGAACTAGAAAACATGAGGTTAGGATTTATTATATACCATGATAAATACATTTTTTCTTTCAATTAGTTGGTATAACCATTTATTTTTCTTATTTTCCCATGCATGTTATTTTTGCTCTAATTGTTTATATGTTTTATTTTGTTTGCATTGCATGATCATGACCAAAAGGTGTTAACTGAAAAGACTGTTCATCAAATGGAAAGAAATCATAAATGGACAAAAGTTTTATGATCGAACAAAATATGACGCAACCGTGGAATGGCATCCTGAGGGAACTCCAAGGATAGAGGAGAGCTATGCACCCAAGATCGTATGCCCATTAAAGATCAAAAGGAGATAGTGAGATAAGAGAGCAGATGTCCAAGATGATGGATGGATGAATATCTGTTTGGCCAAAAGAGAAGAGATCCTGCACAGAAAGAGAGAAAGCTTAATAAAGATAATCCTGCAATTTCAGATATGCAAGAGACTTCTGATCCTAACCAACTTGAGAAATTACAGACAGTCATCATTCGTATTCACAAATCGTCTGGAGATACCAAAGAAATGGTGACCACTGTAAAAGCTCTCAGAGATGAGAAGAAATCATGTAATAAGAAATCATCAAGTTGGTCTGCTCCCGATGTCTAAAACTCAGGTTCAATCCAAGACAAAAGGTGGTTCTTATCTTGATACTATCCATATCATATAAAGAGTGTATGAGAAGCTACTTGAAGCACGA